CTGTAGTTATGCAGCCAGTCGTGTTAAAAGCTGATTCATGTGAATGAATTGTTGACTTATAATCGGTCAAACATCTCTCATGAATATCAAGCTATTTTGAACCAGAAGTAACATTTCTGTCACAAGTTAGAAGCTGCAGTCAGTGTTTGGGTAAAGTGCCGCCTATGTCCTTTATTTATCAAGGTAACAAGTTTTATTGACGTTACAAATGTCAAATTCAAGACAAATTTAGCCAGTAGGGTAGCAGAATTTGCCACAACTATAACATAACAGCTCTACAACATGTAAGTTAAGGAGTGCTGAAATGCATTTGTTGTTCTTGAAAGAGACTGGCTGACCTTTTTAAGTGAAAAGGTAAATGTGAAGGAGTATGATGTCCTTTTAAGGAAAACAAACATCCCCAGCAAATAGGCCTATTTAGGTTTATTAGCAATAAACAAGAGTTGTAAACCAGTGTAATTACACGTGTTAAAGCACTTTACCTAACTGCTGGTATGAGGAACGTTTGTATTTAAACTTGATCCTACTTTCTGTTTTGAGCTTTATTTGGATATATGACTGTATGTGGGATTTGCATGTAGGATTATCCCAGAGAACCCCAGCTTTCACCCACAGTCCAAAGACGTGCAGGTTAGGCTAAATTAGGTTAATTGTACAAATGTGTGCAAGTAATGCGCCTACTTCAATGCAGATTAATGATATACTGAATGATGTCCTTGGTGAGCGTGCTGTCCATCAGAACTTCCAGATATGTTCTTTTTTTCCCCTCAAACTTCTTTATTTCAACTAAACTTTTGAGCCCTTGAAGTTACTTTCCTGATCTGTCTGCATTGTGCCTGTCAGAAAAGGGTGGAATTGTTTACATTTTTTATGTCACAGAAAACACATCCTGAAACATGGAGGATCCAAACAGACCACAGAGGAAAATGTCAACAGCAGGAGAGAGTTTGTACAAGTTGCTGGGAGTGGAGAAGGGAGCGTCTCCTGACGAATTGAAAAGAGCCTACAGGTGTGACTATCTCTTTCAGTTCTGAGCTACAAGAACTAATAAATAAAATGTTACTCTCGCTTGTTAATTGTGCTGTTCTTACAATAGCACAATTAACTAGTGAGAGTAACATCATTGTTTCAGAGATTTATGGCGACATTAGTGAAATCTTAGGCTACATCCACACTAGACCGGATAGATTTGAAAACTGCATTTTCGTTTGAAAACGCTCCGTGTCTCTTCTAGTATATTTAGTAATTTTCACAGAGTTGTGCATCCACATTGAAACGGCCGAAAACGCTTACGTTCCAGTACTGTGCATGCGTGAAACGCAAGAAGATTTGACCTGCCTCATTTCTTTCTGCCGCTTTGAAACGTCGCAGCAAAATTTCAAAGAAAAGCACCGACTTTTTTAAACCCTCACTTGTTTGTATATGTTTTAATTTCTCTTTTGACCAGGAAAATGGCATTAAGGTATCACCCTGATAAGAACCCAGACAACCCCGAAGCAGCTGAGAAGTTCAAGGAGATCAATAATGCCCACTCCATCCTCACTGATCCGGACAAGCGTGGTATCTACGACCAATATGGATCCATGGGCCTCTCGGTGGCCGAGCAGTTTGGGGAGGAGGGAGTCAAATATTACTTTCTCATGTCCAAGTGCTGGTTCAAGGTGAGAGGCAAGGGGATGTAGTTTTAAAGGTGAAAACAGAACATGAAGTTGTTTGTTCTGGTAGTAGGTGAATTATGCAGAAATTTAAACGCCAAAATGTGACCAGAGCATGCTGCAAAGTGTCCAAAAACTCTCCTAATACTCACATTGGTTTTCTTTTAGACCCTGTTTGTGTGCTGCACTATTTTCACCTGCTGCTGCTGTTGCCTCTGCTGCTGTTGCTGCTGCGGAAAGTGCAAACCACAAGATGAAGAGAACAATTTCGTCTACATGGACCCTGAGGACCTGGAGGCTCAGATTAGAGAACAAGATGCAGGTGAGGAACTGTTTTATATTCACTTAAGAATGTATACAGTTGAGCAAGGCAGCAGCTTGCATAGAAACAAAGAGCTGGAGTTGGAAACCCAAATGGTGTAGTGTCCAGTTTCTGATTATCAGCATTTTTAAGATGAAAATGTTTCCTCTAGAAATCTAGGATTAATGATATGGAAATATTAGTTTTCACAGCTTAATCTGCCTTTTTTTCACAGATATAGTTAATTATGTGTTTTCCTGTGGAAAGTCTGCACAGGAAGGCGTTAACTGGATTCTCTTAGATACAGTCGACAGCCTCTTGAAGTGTTTACTGCCCAGTTTTGCTGTACTGATAACACGGGTGTTACTTTATGCTGAGCAGTTGTAACCCTGCCAGTAATCTCGATCTTAACTGTGCATGTGCAGTAAATCCAGCAGCAAGTTAACTTTGCCAAGAAGGGGGTGGGGGTACATCCTCATTCAGTACAGGGCATGTTTAGAAAATGATAGAGTCTATAAAAATGAAGTAAACATCTCAGATGAACAACAGCTGATAACATATTACACTGCCATTGTTTCTTTAATATACACTAAGCTAAAATGCAGAAGCAGTGTGTGGGTAAACGAAGTACACCCCATGACTCAGTAGCTTGAAGAACCATGGATGGATGGATGACTTCATCAGTGTTTCACAGGGATGCAGGGACTTTGGCCCACTCTTCTTTATAACGTTGCTTTGGTTCATTGAAGTGGAGGCATTTGTTTATGCACAGCTCTCTTAAGGTCCCACCGCAGCATTTTAATCGTGACTTTGGGTGTCCCACTGCAACTCGTTGATTTGTTTCTTTTCAGTGGGGTGTGTGGGGGTATTTACCAAAGCACAGCTCTGAGCATGTTAACTGGGTTGTGGTCTGAACTTTTACTGGGCCTCTGCAGCACTTTTTCTCTTTTTTTTTTTTTTCTTTTCTTTTTTTCTTTTTCTTTTTTTTTTCTTTTTTTTAGCTGGTGTGTATTTGCTGCTGTGCTTGCGATCATTGTCCAATTTCATTACCTAATTTGGGCCAAACTTTTAGCTGTCAGACACATGGCCTAACAGTTGACTCTAGAATAATTTGCTATACAAAGGAGTTCATGTTTGACTCAATGGCTGCAAAACGAGCTTAGATCATCACCCCTTCAAGGTTTTGTTCAGATGCAACTTTCCAAACCTAAACCATACTGTCAATTTTAATTTTTTTTCTTTATTAAACAAGCCATACTTGTTTGGTCTGTTTTTAATTGTTTTCTCTCGAACTTTAACATTTAACATGACAACTGTAGCCTGAAGAATCTCAGATACAGCTCTTGGAGTTTTTTTTCGTTTTTCTGATCTCTGGGTAAGTTTGCTAGGAAGATTGGCAGCTGTCTTGAATGCTTTCCACTTGTGAATAATCTTTCTCATTGCAGAATGATGGACTTTACATTTTTATCGAAATAGCCTTAATATCCCCCCCACCCCCATCTAATTTTAAGACGTGCTAAATGGCAAAATATTTTTTACTTTTTATCCTCATGAAACCTGCGCGTCGAGTGGAAATTAATGAAATGTCACTCTAATCCATTACATCTTGCCCTGATCTTGATCCGTGTAACTGGTGATACTTCACCTCTAAACTCTGTCGTCTTTTTACATTTCAAGCTGAGACAAAAGCAGGTGAAGAGATGTCGTTAAGAAGCTGTGTGTTGAATTTTGTTTTACAGCAGACCATCCCGTAATAGTTATTCAGCCGAACTCTAGCGATGCTGCTAGCCATTCAGGTAAGGTCTTATTCCGTCTTCAGGTAACGTTCAGCTGTTGTCAGCTTCCTGCTGCTCTGCGCTGCTTGACTCGCCTGCTAGATTTTACAGCAGTGATTCACTGTGGAAGATTTCTTTTGTCCATGTATTAAATCCTTAATGTGACGGACGCATGGGAAATCCAAAGCTTTTTTGTTTTTTTGTTTTGTTTTTTTAAAGTGATTTATGTCCCTTATCACATACCGAGGACTTTTTGATGATGTACTGTGTTTGGTTTTTCTCCAAACGTGGTCCTGCGGATTGTGGACAGATGTCTCCACTTTGGTCTCATCTGTCTAGTGGACATTGTTCCAGATGTTTTGTGGTTTGTTCAGATGTGATTTTGCAAACCCAATAGCCCCCCCAGTCTAATTTTCAGACGTGCTAAAGGGGAGATCTTTTTTGTTTTACTCTGAAGAAACCCGCATGTAGAGTCGTATTAATGAAATTCATTAATGCTGATTCTGTTGCCTAACAAAATGTCACTCTAATCCTTTAAATTCTGCCCTGATCTTAATCTCTGTAACTGATCCTTTGACACCCCCCCCCCCAAACCCCTGAATGCTTGTTACGCTGTTAATTGCAATCGAAGCTGTAAGTTTGTTCGTATACTTTAAACACTGCTTCTGCATTCTGGCTTATTTCTGTTAAATAATGACACATGTCATAGGTCATTTTAAGACGTGCTGAAGGTCAGATTACTGTTATTCTAATACACGAGACTTGCATGTAGAGTGGCAGTTATTAAATTCGCTGGTGCTGTTGCCTAATAGAATGTCATGCTAATCCTTTAACTTCTGTGCTGATCTTGATCTCTGTATTCTCTTGTCTTTGTACATTTCAAGCCGAGACAAAAGCAAGCGAGGAGATGTTGTTAAGAAGCCGTGTTGATTTACCCAGTGTTGAATTTTGTTTTACAGCAGACCATCCCGTAATAGTTATTCAGCCGAACTCTAGCAATGCCGCTATGCATTCAGGTAAGGTGTTATTCCTCCTCCAAATACATTCACCTGTTCCTAGCTTCCTGCGCTGCTTCACTTGCTGCTAGATCTTGCAGCAAAGAATTGATTTAAAGGTTTTTGTGCTGCTTATGTTTTCTATCTGTATCATCTGTTGTTGTTAATGAGAAAAGCTTCATTAAGTGTTTCTATCCTAAAGGATTTTGGAAGGATGTTATTATTATTTAATTTGCTTGTGTGTGGGTTTTTTTAAATGGCATTATACTATTTATATGGTTTATTCCCTGCTATAAAAGATCATGGCTCAAACTGTAATAGTAGTGGTTTTCTTTTTAAGCTCTTTGGGTTTCATTTAATGAATGGTTATAGAAATTTAGACTGTAAGTGTTGTCCATTTCCCACATTATATAAAAATGGACACAGAACAGAGTATACAACCAATCATCAAAGTCTCCTTTTGCATGTATGAGCAGATTGCACAGATTGATCTTGACACATAATAATTCGTACAGATTTATAGTTCTGGAGTTTTGGCTGAAAGATTTGTACAAATATGGAGTGACATGAAATTTGGGACAGATAGTGTTCACTTAACTTGTTTTCTGGGGCCATCATCTGGTCAAATACCTTGCTTTTGTGCTCTAACATGCTAAACTAAGGCAGTGAACCCAGGCAGTAATATTATTTATGTATTTATTTTTAAATGACAAGACGTACTTTCCTTCATGTTTCATTTTCTGTGAGACGTAAGTGGTTTTGACAGCTTGTTGTCTGATTTAAGAACACTCCCACACCACACACCTGTTCATCACCTGTTCTCGTTACCTTCTGCAGGGGAGAACACACCGATTGTGATTCAGACTCACGCAGCCAAGGGGGGCTCAGGACCTGGAGAATGAACGACTGTATCAAACACTGAAGTGCAGAAAATGTTTTCATCTCAGAGATTTGTTTGTTTACATGAGTCAAACTGCAATTTATTTGATTGTGCCATAGTTATTTTTTAAAAATGTGCTTTTTCTTTGATCCAGTCTTGTATTTATTCTTTTAAAATGTTAAATTTCTGAATTTGGGGCGGAGACTAATAACAAAGCCATGCAGATCAAAGCCTCTGAGCTCGGGGATAATTATCTTTTTCCTGCGCACTTTAAACTCACACATTCATATTGAATGTTTGGAATATTCTGAAGCTGCCATGATCAGAGCACGTTTTGGCCCAAGATTCAGAAATTTTCAGATTTTTATTTTTAATATGCCGATTCAGGGGTTTCTGTGGAAGCTTGCTTCCAGCACTGGAAAGGGAAAAAAAAATGCCAAGCGTAAATCAGAATTTTGGTGTCAGATCTCAAAATTTCGACTCAATGACTCAGGATCTCAAGTCGAGTCTCACTTAAAGTTTCACCTAATCAGACGTGTGAGCTGGCAAGTGGAAATTTTGAGATGGTGACTTGAAATTTTGACTTAACTTTGCCTCGCAGTTTAAAAAAAATAAATAAATACAAAAAATAACAAAACGCTTGTTCGGTCGCACTGCACATAGAAACAGACTCTATGTTAAACGGTTTACTGATGTGGCCACAGATCACACACAGATTTATCAAACAAAGGTTTAGTTTTAAAGTTTTAGCGCTGCCTTATGTGACACATTCAGTTGCCAGCTTGTAAATGACTCTTTGAAGTTTAGTCTTGTGATGCTTGCAGAGATTTTAAGGAATTACTAAATCGCCTAATTCTGAGAGTTGGATGAAGACTGTTGATCACATTTGTGTTTGTCCACTTGAAATCTACTAAGGATAGATTGTAAATGGATCAAATACCCCCCAAAATGATTTGAGTCTTCCTATAAATGCCATAATTGTAAAACCAGATTTATATACCTGCTTTTAATTAACACAAAAAGATTGGATTTACTTCAATGGTACGTTTAGAAATTAGTCTAAACGCACCATTGAGTTACATTTGGCGCACCCCTTTAGGGCGAGTGCAGCAATGTGTAGAAACCAAAGAAATCACACGGAGGCTTCTGCTGTAGCGCCCTCTTTGTGTGTGATTTCACCTAACAACAACCAGCAAGCCCCAGGAACCACTCGCCGACCAGCTGGGGGAGCACACCTTTTTCCAAGCCGCCTCCTCCCTCACTACCTGAAGCAAAGAACCGGCTGGACCAGTGGACCACTGTTTATTCTGTTTGTGCAAAGATTAAACAAAAGACATGTTTTGGACATGTTGATTGATGTTTCCACTTGTGATGTTTTCAACCTTTATGCTTAAGTCCCTTTGGCTCCTGCTCAAGCTTACTTAATTATACACACAGGCACAGTGACAATAATCTGTTTTAACTCCTGGAAAGTGAGCCAGTGTTTCAGAAGAGGTACAGTTGGTCATTTTTGTCATTGCACATAAGTAAAAAAATATGCAGGGAGGTGAATAGAGTTGTGTGAATTTTTCTACACTTGACACTAAAACCATCGTTTGTTTCTTTAGAAAATAAGATCGCAGCTTTCTGATTTATTGCCATTTTGACTTTTTTGTGTATGTCGTGATTGTCTTGTAAAGTCAGAGATGTATATTTATGATTAGAGGATTTATTACAAATTGAGTATTAAGGTAAAGATTCTTTTGTTTAAATGATATTTTTCTATTTTCTCTCGGGGTAAAAATGTTGAGATTGTGTTTCATTTTGATTTCATTTTATACAAATCTGGATATAATGATAATAATATGGATGCTGATTTTCTGACGATCCTTGACTGCGGTGTATTTAAAAGCCTGCTTGTATACTTTTGTATGCCAATGATTATACTTGACGCAAAAGTGCCTGAATGCAGTTTTTGAATAATTTTACAGAAGTGTATTTTATGTCATTATCTAAACATTTCCATGCTGAGTTTGTTCTGTCCACTTTGACAGATTTCCAACTGTTGGTGTAAATTTGAGTTTCTTCTAAAGCATGAAATAAAGTTGAATAATTCAGACAATGTCATGCGGTTGTCTTATAATTTCACTGGAGTTGGCGCAGTAACCTGCCATTGGCTCCTGCAGTGCTCCACCCCTGAGAGATAGCGTGGGTTAGAGCAGGTGGTAAGTTGCCAGGCTTCCCTCTAGCTCCAGGTCAACCTTAAATACGGGAGTGTCTCAGCTGTCAATAACATGAGGATATGGAGTCATCAACAGATCCAGAGAAGCAACATTTGATTGAGACTCATTCGGAGCCTCTTGTGTGGTACGTCTTCATTTTTCATTTGACCTCCTGAAACACCAAAGTTCAACACAGATGGCTTTAAAACTGTTGACTTCCACATTGAGCCAGCCTTAATGTAGATCTTCCGTCTTGTGTCAGGGTGAGCGGTCCAGAGAAAAAGTGCTCAGACTCAGAATTCGGTGAAGACGCCCTCAGTGTGGAGGGGCTGTGGCAGCACGAATGGCTCTGCCAAGAGGCCGATTGGAGGTCGGTGACTGAAAGGGACTCGAGATGTTTGGCCAGAAAAAAGCTTTTCACTGCATGTGCCGTCAGCCTCGTGTTCATGACGGGAGAGGCCATTGGTGAGACAAAAGACTCATCACAAATTTCCATGCCAGCAACTCTGATTCTGCCAAAAAAATGAAGTTTACCTATATTCGTTTTTTACTGTGTCATGCATAAATATGTAAAGCTTGCTGAGTTTGAATCGCTCCATACAAACTTGATCTTAAAGTGACACACTCAGGCTTCCTCTGCCCAAACACACATACGGTTTCCTCTGCAGGTGGATACGCCGCCGGCAGTCTGGCCATCATGACGGACGCAGCTCACCTTCTGACTGATTTTGTCAGCATTGTAATCAGCATCTTCTCTCTGTGGATCGCATCAAGGCCTCAGACAGGAACCATGACTTTTGGATGGTATCGAGCTGGTAGGAACAAGTTTCTCACGAGTAGCTCTCAAGAATACACTCACCAGCCACTTTGTTAGGTACACAGGTTAAGATTCATTCCGAAGTAGCAGTACAACATAGACGGGTCAGAATTTGGAATAAACAAGTCAAAAGAATGAATCTGTCCTGCCTTGTATCGACAGTTTAGGCTGGTGGAGGTGCTGATGTTATGGTGGGATATTTTCTTGGCACACTTTGGATCCCTTAACTGAGCATCATTTAAATGTCACTTTTGATGGCAGCATCCTGCAGGAAAGCAAACAAAGCTCACATCATGTCAATCTGGTTTCTCGAACGTGACAGCAAATGCACTGTACTCAAATGTCCTCCACAGTAAATAGATCTCAATCCAGTAGAGCAGGGATGTGGTGGATGTGGACTGTGTGCCATAATCATGTGAATATGGACCAAAAGCGTACAGCTCATTGTTAAATCTGTACCATGAAGAATTCAGGCAGTTCTGAAAGCAAAAGGGCGCCCAACCCGATACTAGCAAGCTGCCCTTTGAATTTATGTGCACATTAGTCCACATGAGTTGCACATACTCATATCCTTCATGTTTTCGGGGCCATTTCTGACTCTGTTACTGTTTCACGCAGAGATTCTGGCCATGTTTCTATCAGTCGTGTCGATCTGGGCCGTGACAGTAGTGCTCGTCTTATCAGCCGTGCAGAGGATCTCCGACGGGGAATACGAGATTGACAGTGAGATCATGCTCATAACATCAGGCTGTGCTGTAGGGGTCAATGTCCTGTAAGTGTGCCGAGCTTACTTTATGGATTATTTCTGCTTGGTTTAGGGGGGCAGTCAGCAGAGATGAGTGATGACGTCTATGCTTTGTTTTACCCAGGATGATCCTGATCTTGCATCAGCCTGGCAACTCACATGGCCACAGCCATGGGTTTGCCACCAACCTGGCCCAGAGGGACAAGCATGGGCAGAGGAACGGCCACGGTAATGCAAGTGTGAAGGCAGCTTTCGTTCATGTGGTGGGAGATCTGGTGCAGAGTGTCGGTGTCATGCTGGCTGCCACCATCATCCACTTCTGGGTCAGTGTAAGATTAAAAATAACAGTTAAACAACAAAAATAATCAGGATGGGCTTGATACAGCACTGTACTCTCCAAGTACTCAATATCACTCCATCAATTGTTTCTGATCATATTTCTGTCTTCTTCACAGCCTGAATATAAAGTAGCAGATCCAATTTGCACCTTCCTGTTCTCTCTTCTCGTTATTGGGACAACGCTTCCTGTCACAAAGGATGTTTTCAGGATACTGCTGGAAGGTAAACACACTTCCCTCCGCCTGTGGTGACGTTCAGATTTTAGCGACAGTTTAACGTGTGTATTTTCTGAAGGCGCTCCTCGGGACGTGAGTTTCGGCGCCGTGAGAGAGCTGCTGCTGTCTGTAGGAGGAGTCACCGCCATTCACAGTTTACACATGTGGAGCCTCAACACGACTCATTCTCTGCTTTCCGTGCACCTTGCCACAGGTAAGAGGCGAAGACGGTACTGTTATGTGGAGAGGAAGCAGAACCTGCGCTAAAGCCCAGTAAAAAACAGAATTTCCAGTTTTATTATGCTGTTGCCAAATATAAGTTACTTGAAAAATATGGCAAAAAAACAGAAAAAAATTATTTAGTTATTTTCTGCTTTTGAAGTTGATATCACTGAAAATAGATACATATAAAAATCAAATGAGACTTGGAAATCCATAATAGTCTATTGCAAATCTGTCTGCAGATTTTTGGGAGTGCCCACTGCCCCCTTGCCCCTCCCTTGGTGGTGACCCTGCTAAAACTATGGAGGTTTAATTAGAAATGAAACACCACACGCCCATCCTGCGCCTTTTATCCTGGTCCTGTAAACATTTGTTTTTTTGTTTGATCAGAGTGTTTGTATTCTAAGTAAATAGGATGGAAAACCCTTTGGCAAATATTGATCTATTACAGCAGTAATGTAAGTTGCCAGTCAACTGAAAAAGAAAGTTCTTATTGCTTCCACAAGAATTAGGAGGGTAAGAAGCAGCCAGGTGCAGCTAATCAGATGCACGTGATTAAATGATCATCAGCAAATGATTAATTCATTGATGAACTCTATAGAAGTAAAGGTTTTTGGCAATTTTCTGGAGCATTCTAGTTCTTTCTAGGAGTGAAGGTCCCAGAAAACTAAAAAAAAAAACAAACAAAAAAAAAACTAAACTAAAGAACCCCCAAGATCTAACTCTCAAATTCTACAGGGCTTAGTTAACATGTGAAATATTCAAGTACATTGGTAGCACGTTAAAAAAAAGACTAAGTATGACTTCTCTGCAAATATAACATGGCGGCACAGGTTTGCAAAGTTGCATCTGAACAAACCACAACACAGGAAGTAATGAAGAATATGGACACAAACACCTCAAAACAACCCCCAAAAGGTTGATTGTGTTCATCTGGACGTAGCGTTTTCAGTGGGAGAAATGTCGTCACTCATCCAAGTGACTTCTTCAGTCTCAGCTGACTGCAGGTTTCCCCAATCTTATAAACAGTACATTTGGCCAATGACTGAAACTAGCACCACTGAATGAACAATGGGCTGTGAGGTCAGTTCATTGATCATTAATATGCAAATTCTCATGACCATTGATCAACAACCACTGATCCATGGCCATGAATACCATTCATAGAGAGTTGGGGAATGGCTGCAATCACAGCACTGTAAGATGGTGAAAGATGCCCCCTTAGGCCCCCTCCTTGATTCAGAGATGGTCTTTCCCTTTTCACGTAAGTGGCCTCCTTGACTCTGCGCTGCAACCAGCGCTCCTCCCCGTCCAGGATGTGTACATCCTCATCATCAAAGAGTGTCCACTGGCCTGTAGGTGTAAATAGTCTGCAGAGTCCTGGCCTGGCGAGTTAGCTCTTCTGCGTTGCGCAATCCACTTCACCAGAGGTTGTTTGGTTTCCCTGATGTTGAAATCACGGCAGCCATTCCCCAACTCTCTATGAATACAATCTGATTTATATAGAACACAAAAAACCCACAAGTTCAGCATACACGATAAACAGGTAAAATATTGTCATTTTGGGCTGAAGTTTTATTTACTTCCATGAACTTTTGAGTACAAGCAAAATTCTAGCATCCACAATAAAATGAAGAGGAAGAGTTGAGCCAAAGTTGTAGAAGAAGAGCACTGATGATTAAATCATGTCATTGTCTGTATTTATTTGTTTGTTTTTTCCAGAGGAAGATGCTGATTCGCAGATCATCCTCAGGAAGGCAACAAGGGTCCTGCGCTCCAAGTTTGGTTTTTCCAGCATCACAATTCAAGTAGAGAGCTGCAGGATTTCGGGCAGCAGTGTAGAGGTTTAAAGTTGACTGAACAGGTGACTGCAAAAGTAAAGGCACTGGGTGCTCCCATTTAACAGCTTCATATTTGGGACTGAGGCGGCACGGTGGTTAGCACTGTTGCCGCACAGCAAGAAGGTCCTGAGTTCAATTCCACCATTGGGGTCTTTCTGTGTGGAGTTTGCATGTTCTCCCCGTGTTTGCGTGGGTTCCCTCCGGGTACTCCAGCTTCCTCACACCGTCCGAAGACATGCAGCTTGTAAAGCTTATAAATATGCACAGTATAATGCCATCACTACAATATACATGTTTTACACACTCCTTTTGTTGTTGACATTTACAGGCTGTGTGCAAAATGCCACACTCTTCAAATTCATGCCAACTAATATTTTTACGTCCAGTAGATGTCCTACTAGAGCAAATGAAGCTTCAAGACGCTTTGCGCTGCGGTGAACCAACTGGATGAAAAGCTTCAGTGCTTCATGAAGCTTCATCTGCCCATCACTACATACAGCAACAACATGGGAATAGAGCAGCTGCGAGAGAATTCAGCATTAATGAATCAATGGTACGGAAGTGGAGGATCGCAGTTTTTGGCTTTCCCCATATTCCAAAAGTGCTTCGTCTCTTTGCTATTACTGTCGCCGGCATAATTTGCAGATTATGCCAATTTTACTTTAAAATTGTTTGTAACCGCTGCAATGCTTTCGACCAAAACAGGCGCAGCTTGATGACATCATCAACATGCGCTATCGCGGTAGAGCAGTATAGGTCAAAATCTCTACCGCTGGCCAAATTTATATCGTTTCTACCGTATGCTGTTTATACCGCCCACCCCTAATTCAAACCTCTGGTTTACTGTGAGCAACTCCCAGCCTAAAACGCTAAAAACAATAAAACCACAAATGTTTAATAAAGAAGAACGTTAAAACATTATTGTTGGCCACATGCCGGCAAAGTTATTTGCCATTAGCAATGTTAGTACTAACTGGGTTTTAAAGCCTTTACTTTGAAATACTTAATCTTACAGAAATGTGATGATTTTATGGATAATTAAAGTCAGTCATATATCCACAAACACAAGCTGAAAGTCAGTGAATGCTGCTCGGTGCAGCCAATATCACGGCACAAGCAGGATTCACTGCACTGTTAATGTTAGCTATGTTATATTGCTGCCTCTGTTCGGTGGTGTCGAGCCAAACGGACTTTAACGTGTGTTTGAACGAGCTGACGGTTCACTCGTTAAGCTGAAAGAAAGATGCTTTAATCACAGGAGTCACACATGTGTCCACTGTACCATCTGGGAACTCTTCTTGTTTCGTAATAACACAAACACTAAATCCTCCTTCTTTTGTGCTGTTTTGTAGCAGTGTATACACCTGAGACTGTCACCTGTCTGTCTGTCCTGCACTCTCTCTCGTTTCTTTCTCTCTGATTGTGTAATAAAAGTATGAACATGTGTTTATAAGTTACACTTGTGTTTGAATCCTGCAGCTTATCACACATTTGATTTCCATGTGTGACAACTGCAAGTGTCCAGAGTGAGGACAGACTGAGGGACCCACTGCTGCACATCATCTGTGAGGCTTTGCACCCCTGATGATCCACCAGGACAAACTCAGCAGTGTGTGAGGAAGAGGAGGAGGAAGAGCCAGCAGCAGCTGACAGATGGAGAGAATAGACAGACTGTTCCCTGTTTGTGAAGGACTGCTAGGAAAGTTTAACATAACTGTCTGTCCTGAATCAGTCTTATTAGGTAATGTTCAAATAATTATCATTCCAGTGTTTTCAGTGTGGGAGAAAGTACTCAGGGCCTTCAAGTTACACACTATAGTGTTACATCATATTCTATAAGGATGTTATGTGTTTGTAGACTTTCTGCCCAGTTTGACCCATTTAGCAGAAGTCAGCCTGTTTAAGGCTCTGATATCTATTCTGTATGACTTAAAGCAGTTATGACATGGTCTGATTTTCTCACCCAATAAAGGAATATTTCATATATCAGTCTACTCTTCATTCTATCAGAAACAGTTTTCACAGCTCGTACATTTTCTTTTTACACATATATGTAAGCATTGAGCCAAATTTAGTAATGCCAACATATTAAAAGAACAATATTTGTCTCTTATATATAATACATCTATATATACACTGTCACAGATACTTGTCTTTGAGTGAAGATTTAAGGTGATAGGAAATATAAATAACTGCAACTTGAATCTTTACTGAAGCTCAGTATTTGACACAGAGTTCAAGTTCACTGCTGTAATAACTAATAATGATAAATATTATAACTTAAATATTGGCCAATAAAAAAAATATACTATTATATAGGAACATATTAGGGGTGCAACGATACTCGTATCGATATTGAACCGTTCGATACAGTGCTTTCGGTTCGGTACGCATATGTATCGAACAATACAAAATTTGTAATTTATTTTATCAACTTTCCTTCTGACGATGCTGTCTGTGTTGAGCGCTCAGTGAATCTGCGTTCGACTACTCCGCCTAGGCTGCACTGTCGAGCGCAGATCTACTGAGCGCTCAACACAGACAGCATTGTCAGAAGGAAGAGCGCAGGGCAAGCTAGCGAGACAGAAGTTAAGCTCTGCTTGCAACATGGAAAATTGAACCTCCCCCACCCTCATTCAGATCTGGCGTTTGGAATTATTTTGGTTTTCATGTGACATATGACCCTGAAGGTAAACGCTCATGGACTAAAGTAAAACAGTATGTTGGATGTGCCACGCACTAGTGTGTTAGCGCAGTTAGCTCATTAACGTGTTGGCCGTCTAGCCCCACGCACGGAGATTTGCCGTGTTGTGGCGTTATCGTCATTTCAACGAGATTAACGCTGACAGCACTAGTGGGAACACAACGAATATGACTGCACATTTACGCCGACATCATCCTAGTGCAAAGAAAAGTGGAAGAAGACAAAAACAACAAGCATGCATGCTACAAACTTTACCCGAGTCATTTAGACAGCTGTTAGCACATGATCCTCCTTATGGGGACCTGATATGTTTAATATTGTGGCGAGCTCAGACAAGGTGGAGACGGAGGTGTCGTTTGGTCTTGCTTCCCGTGAGCTAGCCTGGGAGCACAGCCGTTTATTGACATCTGCAGAAGAACACTGCCGCTAGCTAACTGCTCAGCGCGGCAACCGCACAGCAACAACAACAACAACACACCGTCGCAGCGAGAGGGCGTCGTCACCCGTCACTATGGCAACATAAACAAAACATAACTGTACAAACAGAACCCCGAACAGCCCTGACCCGCTACATAGCCCCAACTAAGGGGTCAGTCGTCCCCGACGACCCCATTACCCCACACAAAGTCCTGCAAATGTCCAGGTGCCTTCTTTTGGCGCACCGGCCGGTCACGACCGGCGGGGGAAAATTCACTCGGGTCAGAACATGGGGTGCCACCATCATCCCACTTCTGACACCAATGTGGCGAGCTCAGACAAGGAGGAGACGGAGGTATCGTTTGGTCTTGCTTCCCGTGAGCTAGCCAGGGAGCACAGCCGTTTATTGACATCTGCAGAAGAACACTGCCGCTAGCTAACTGCTCAGCGCGGCAACAGCACAGCAACAACAACAACACACAGGGCGCCCTCTGACCCCGGAAGGACACACCGTCGCAGCGAGAGGGCGTCACCCGTCACTATGGCAACATAAACAAAACATAACTGTACAAACAGAACCCGAACAGCCCTGACCCGCTACATAGCCCCCAACTAAGGGGTCAGTCGTCCCCGACGACCCCATTACCCCACACAAAGTCCTGCAAATGTCCAGGTGCCTTCTTTTGGCGCACCGGCCGGTCACGACCTGCGGGGGAAAAGTCACTCGGGTCAGAACATGGGGTGCCACCATCATCCCACTTCTGACACCAATGTGGCGAGCTCAGACAAGGAGGAGACGGAGGTGTCGTTTGGTCTTGCTTCCCGTGAGCTAGCCAGGGAGCACAGCCGTTTATTGACATCTGCAGAAGAACACTGCCGCTAGCTAACTGCTCAGCGCGGCAACCGCACAGCAACAACAACAACAACACACAGGGCGCCCTCTGACCCCGGAAGGACACACCGTCGCAGCGAGAGGGCGTCACCCGTCACTATGGCAACATAAACAAAACATAACTGTACAAACAGAACCCCGAACAGCCCTGACCCGCTACAATATGCTGCTGAGAATATAGCCCAGAAGAAGCGTATAGTATAGCTTTTATTTTGGAAAGAGCCATTTCTCTGTAATAAACTCTCTTTTCCAAAGATGAGTGATTCCTCAGATTTATTTTTATTACTTTGTTGTTTCAGCAACATTAAATTTAAAAACTGTACTTTTGAGTTAAAATATATATTTATAATTTTAATAAATGACAAATTAAAAAGGCATGAACATTTTTTTTGTATCGAAAAAATATCGAACCGTGACACCAAAGTATCGAACCGAACCGAACCGTGAATTTTGTGTATCGTTGCACCCCTAGAACATAGTGAAGACTAATTATTTAAGAGAATAAAGAGAGGTTAGTTTATTTTGGAGACAAGCTCCATTTATTAAGAAAATTTTAAAAAGGCAGGAACGCTATTTAGAGATTTGTGGGTGGCTCTTAAAAGAGCCGTTGTGGGGAAGTCACTGGGACTTCAAATAGGCTACTCCTTTGGTTGCCAAGACACGGCTCCCTCCGCCGAGAAGTGGGCCATGAACTTCTCCCTCACCAGGACAGCCTCTCTGGAGGAGTTGTTTGCTGCTACACGACCCAGGCCTTGCAACGGCCAGAATTAAACCAGGTCTAAATAAAACAAATAAGGACTTTATAAGCCAGACCTTCTGAGTATCACTACAAAGATTACAAACAGTGGTCCTCATACCACAGTTTGATATCAGCAAACACCAAGAGCATACATTGATATGACACCACAGCCATGCTATCATTGCAAACACTGATAACACAGCATAAATCGAATTAATTTAATTTGATGTTCATTTTATGAAATACTATGTTAGCTTTATGATTTCACTACCAGAAATAACAGAAATCCAACTATCCACAAACTGTCTCATGACTCCACAGAATATTTTCCCTAAGGTCTTGGGGATCATCAAGACGGGTTTTTTTTGGAAAACTTAAGAGGTGTTACGACCCGGCTCGAGGCCGCAACATAAAAAAGGAGGCGAATATCAGAGTGTAAGTGAGAAGAGGTTTTAGCTTAAAATGGCATCGCAGGTTGGCTCAAATGGCTGGTGCCACAAAGGCAAAGACTGGTGAGCTTCCTGAAAAGCCTGCCTCAGGTATGCTTTTATTTACACCTTACTAGGTGTGGCCATTTAGCAACAGCTGAACACACGGAGATTAGGGGCTGCAGAGGAGCGTAACACCACCTCCCTCAAAAGGATTCCTCTAGGACCCCTAAATTTATTAAGCCAAAGCCAAAACTTGAGCACTTTATCACCTGCTCTCCTAACACGAAACTAAATACTCGCATTTCTTTAGTTGGCATCTTTAAGCATGGATGCCCCTGCATGAGGATTTAAAGTTGCCACACTGAATGCACAGAGTAACATGTGACCAACATGAGTACAGCAGTCAAACCCAAAAGGATTATTCAACCTGCTACAACACAAAATGAGAGCAGCCACGAATAATCACATTCACAAGTGATCTGTGGTCTCCACCACACAAACGGTCACTTACAAGTGGCCTCATACCACAACAAGTTACTGTAATATACAAAATTCAGTAAAGCAAGCATACTAGTGAACAACCACAAAATGGAGAGCTATAGCCACACAACAATCACATCAAGGGTGGTTTAGCACCCCGCAGTGTTATTTCCATCACCTGGCCAACAACACTCACAAGTGATCCAACTAAAGTAGCCATATTCCCCACAACACTAAAGGTCACTGATACATTAACGGAACACACATGGTGTACTCTATGCCAACTTAAAAAAAACAAAAACAACTGCTCACCTGCCTCAGCTATAAGACCATAATGGATTCACTTGGCACAATAATTGGCTTTTGAAGTAACACCCTTTCAGATTTGTAACATTCGCAGTATCAACATTACCGCTGTGTGATGTTTGAATCGCCTTTCATCACACACGTCTGTCACTAAGACATTTTGCAGTTATAAAATTCTAAACTTGAATTTTTTTCTCGTGAATTAAATTTTTTTTTTCATATGAACCTTCTTTTTTCTTTTTTTCCACCCTTTTCTTTACTTCTGTCTGCACCTTGCTTCACTCAATAGCTCTCCAGTGCTCGCTAGAACAGATTTGGTTTGTTTTTTGCAGCATCAGTTTCAATTTATTTCAACTGACAATCCAGGTCAAATGAAGGACGCTCCCTCAGATCATACAGGCACATAATTATGAGGTACAAATTTTTTCAAACAATACATACAAAAGAGTCTTAGCACATTATTAAGGACGGTATAGCAAGAGTTAGTCTGGATTGAAACCAGGTCAAAGCAAGCAATGAAATGTTAAACATAGATATGAAATTCCTAATAGGTAGAGATTATTCCGATATGCATTTTTTAAGGTTTTTCTTTTTTTCTTTTTGGGATGTACTGTAACAGTTTAGTTTAACAAACAGTAAAAAAAAAACCCAACAAATCTAGGTAGTTATTAGTATATCACGTAACAAAACACTTTCTGGCGTGATGAGCCCAAAAATTTGCAGATAAGAATTGTTCAGCATGACAAAAATTCCTGGTTTCAACCCACTTTCTGGAAAAGCAGTCTTCAATGTGCAGACTTGGGGTCTCCATCTTTCCAGTAGTTTCTGTGGGCCTCCTGGAACATGTCCTTGCATGCGATTTTAGCTTTGAGTTTCGAGCAAATGAGAAAGGAGCCGCCCATTTTTCTGTGGAGGGAGTAGGTTTCCTCTGGCGGTGGCGTGAGACGCTCTTTCAGCATCACCGGGATGAGGTTGTGGATGCGCTCAGTTGTGCTCTGCATTCCAAAGTCAAAGGGCTTTTCTGAGTTGAAGGCCTCTCCGAGGATCATCACCGCATCCACGTGGGCGTTCTCCATCGCCTTAATGCAGAAGACAAGAAAAATGATCAAGAGGCTTTCAAGTAAAAGTTCAGCATGTACAGAAACCTGCTCCTCTGCTTTTAGACGAAGAGATCAATATTAATTTTATTTGTGTTGAATAGGACGCTGCACCCAGCATCTTGCAACAGAGACTGGAAACAAGCTGAAATAATCCCCTCCATCAGCACTTCTAAAGCTAACACTTCATTCATCGTTGGTCCCATATTTATTTTGCAGGAGGACATGCAGCCAGACTCAATAAATAAATATTTCCTCAACCACAAGAGCTGCAAATGTGATTAAAGACACACAGGCCTGCTCTCAGCCTCAGGGAATAACTGTGGAGTTATGTGAAGAGACAGAGTGAACAACACTGGAACACACTAAACCCACACAAGAACTGTAGTAAGACGAGAGAGCAATGTGATCTTCAGGCACCGTATAATAAAGAGAACAAAAAAAAAGAAAAAGAAATTGTCCACAGTATATACTCTAAGTCATTTTTACTATCATCTCATAACAGTTCCTCTATAATAAAACCAAGATAGCGAGACTGTTCACAAAATATTAGTGCTGTTGTAGTTCCTGTTGGGTGCCACTAGAGGTCGCTAAAGAACACCTAGTAAATACTTTGAGTGACTGAATATTTCAAAACATTTTCAATAAAAATGTGGTGCATTTCAGAAGTTCCTCTCAATCTTACTTTGAACACAGTCAAATTGCTGTTTGACTGCATGAACCTTTCATGTCTTTCACGCTACATTCAAAAATACAACAACAGACAAATCATAAACATAAACTCACAGCTACTGTTGAACTGAATCACAGTGTGGTGCGGTTCATTAGTAAAATTTACAATGTCCGTTTCTCACCTTTGACTCGTATCCTGTGAGGAACTTCATTTCTCTGGATTTCAGTAGGACGCCTTCTCTGTCCTGATCTGCAGCTGCTTTTATAATCTGAGTGAGAGAAATCGCACCAGACGGTTTCACATGTCGAAAAGATATTTCTCAACTGAAACTTTTTGAAATTCTTGTCTGCACAACAATAAAGCACATCATCTGTCTTAACCTGTGTGGTTAACAGATATTCTCACAGCAAAATGACTAAAACAGAGTAACTTGAAAAGGACTGCAGTCCTGTCCCACGATTCAACAGCTTGTAGAACCACCTTTAGCAGCATTAACCTGAAGAACTCGTTTTCTGCACGGCTTTATGAGTCTCTCACAACATTGTGGAGGACTTTGGCCCACTCTTCTTTATAGTGTTGCTTCAGTTCAGTTTCTGGGACCACAGCATTTCAATCAGCTTGAGATCTGGACATTGGGCACCTTGATTCTTCTCTTTTTTCAGCCATTTTGTTCTAGACTGGCTGCTGTGCTTTGGATCATCGTACTATTGCATTTAGCTGCAAACCAAACCAAACCATCACCCCTACACCACCACGGTGTTTCACAGCTGATACGAGGTGTTTGTGCTGATATGCTGTGTTTGGTTTTCTCCAAACATGGAGCTGTGCTTTCGTCTCATGGGTCAAAATGACTTTAACATGTTAACTGAGGTCTGCAGAGTGTGAGATGTAGCCATTGGGTTTTTTTGGGTGACTTTACAGGGAAACGCCTAAATGCTCCAGACCAGAAAACTCCAAAAACCTCTGTTCTCTATAGAGGTGCTCACACTTGCCGATGTTCATTCAATCAAGCACATTTCATTAGCAGTCTTGCCTGCTTAATTCTGTCAATCGAAGCAGTGTGCTAAGTTTTTCACATCCTTTTTTCATATTTGTATGTGTGTTTAGTTTCTTGATAGTCTTCATGAACACTATTTTCCAAATACAAAACAAAATGTTGTAATTACAAGTAATAATCTAAGTGTACTTCATGTGACCAGAATTATCTGGACCTAGAATGGGTTAAGGAGCAGCCAATGTTCAAGAAACATTAGAAGAATATTTATAAAGAAATGACATAACATTTGCACATCACTGTTTGAGAACTAGATAAACTAAATTCTCAGGCAGGTGTATGCATCTTTTTGTTTTTAAATTCATGTAGCACAATAGCCAGTGGGGGCAACACAGTGTACAACAACAATGAGAACACTTCTCACCTCAATGTAGGTATCAGTAAAATGCTTGTTAAATCCTCGAGTAGCTCCAAAATCCAGCAGCGCAACCTGACGTGAAGTCATAAAAAACAGAAAACACGCATCAGTGAAAAGGAGAAAGATTAAATCCACGCGTGTCGCTGGTATAAGTTGGGCAAACTGACCTTATGAGTTTGTGGATCAAAGAAGAAGTTGGACCAGTTCGGATCGGTTTGCATGTATCTGAACTCAAAAAGCTCCCTCAGGCATAAAATAAGGATCTGCTCACAAATCTGGCAGAAGGAGAGACAACTGGAAGTGACATGAGTGGGTGCTGATACTTAAATAGTTATCTCTGCTACATGCTGCCATGTCTCAGGGTTTTTTATTTTATTTTAAGGTGGCATGTACCTCATCTTGGCAGAGCACAGGTGTTAACTATACTGTAAGTAGTGTAGAGTTCAGAGCAGAGTGAAGCTCTTAAAGGCATACCTCATTCCTGAGTTCCTGAGGGAGATGTGTGGCCTTGTCCAGCGGGAAACCAGGCACCAGTGTTGTGGTGAGAACCTGCTTATTGCTTAGCTCGTCTATCACATCAGGCACACAGAAGAAGGGGTGATCCTCCAGCAGCTCGCTACCAAACACACAGCAACAAAGTCAGAAGAAGCGTGCAGATAACCCTTATCTGGCCCTTCAGGTGCTCTGTTACAGCACAGTGCAAATGTCTTGAGCCACCTATTTCTTTATATTTTGCTTCCAAGGGGCCAGATGTTTTTGTCTGGTCTTGAGCAATAATTTTCCGACCTTTCTGAAGGGCTTTCAAAGTTTTTTCTTTGGAAAACCTGGAGAACTGAAACGATCCCAACAGAAGGGTGGCTGTCAAGAAACCGTTTTTAAGGACAGGCTGAGGTACCCACAGTTATACAAGAACTGGATTGAAAATTGCTGGCGAGTGATCTCATGGAGTGCTGCATTTTAGCCAGTGGAAATTCAGAAAAGTACTGTTGGATGTTGATTTTAATTTTTGCCGTATTGTTGCAATGGCGGACTGTCAAACTGGATTGCCCAATGTGGGATAAATAAAGTTATCTGAATGTGAGCCACCATGCAAGACCGTCTGAAAAAACATCTGATTGGCAGTTGCTTCATTTTTCAGCATGATAATGATGCCAAACACACTGTCGGTACAGTAAAAGCACACCTAGACACACACACATAATATGAAAGCTTGCCTAAGAGAGTTCAGGCTGTATTGAAGAATAATGATGGCCATAACAAATATGGAATTTCAAGCTTGTTAGATTTTTTATTTTTATGCATTTCCATTTATGTTGGAACGTGTTTCAATAAATACTGCACTCATTTCGTGAGCAAAATGGAAAGAAATGAGGGGTGGGGCTCAAGGCTTTTGCACAGTACTAGTTGCTGTTTGTTGCCAAATGGCTCCTTTGTCAAAGCCGCCTGCTGCTGAAAATGTCAAGGGCATGAACCCAAATCAAAAATATCTTTAGGACTCATTGTGACACAACAAGAGCTGTGAAGGTGTTACTATGGGAACTATATGGGAACAGTAATGTTTGTGTATACTGTATATCATTCATTATGCAGCAGCTATTATTGTAAGTTGTTGCCTGGTAGGACTTTCCAGGAAAAACTGGCAGAGACCAAAGGTTAAAATAAGTTTGTATGTCGTTAAACAAAATCAGAAGGTTCAAAACACTACAAAGTATTTTCTTGTGGATAAGAAATACAGTACAGTAGCTAAAATAGCCAAAAATACCAAAAATAGAGGCACCAATGGTGAAACAACCTGAATGTCTGAGGAGGCGGGAACACAACTGAATTCTGGGAAGTTGACGCAAAAGCCACGGACTATATGAGGAATATTTTTTAAAACTCAAAATCTAAAACCTAACAATGCATTTATACACAAACTGCTAAATAATACAAAAATATTTAAAAAAATAACAGATAAAGGCCACAAGCCAGACTGTCAATGATGCAGCAGCTCATCTGTCTCACCATGTCATCACAATTCACAGATGACTGCTCGTAAAACAACAAACGTGATCGTGACCTTGAGCAGTTTTAGTGAAGACCAAGTAGGTGATCACTGTGTTTTACTGAAATCTGAACAGTATTGTGTGAGAAGTAGCGATTGTGGCTAACTGTAGCTAGATGGAAGTTCTGGTGCAAAGCACGCTTCTAGCAAAGACAAATAAAATATTACCCAAGCTTAGTCAATTTAGTAAGAATAAATGCAAACAACTCACTGAAATTTTCTGGCACAATTTGCTTCCCTTATATAATCACATTCCAGCGCCAGCTCTCGACTCATGACCTCAATGAGATGCTCAGGAAATAAACCTGGAAAAAGAGGTCAAATGGGGGGGTTGAAAATCATTGCGGTCGAGCTGCAGGTTTACAAAGATCAGACAATAGCAGCTGTTATCCCTAAATGATAAGAAAAATACCTTCAGGCAGTGCGTTGCTTAACCTCAGGGCAGTCATGATATTATTCACGTCACTCTCGATACTCTTTGCTATTCCAGGGTACTGAAGGGAAAGATTTGATTGAGTTATTTTATTCTATTTGCTGACTTATGACCCACTTAACATCTGCATTTATCTCAGCACAAACACTTCTCTCACCTGAATCTTCATGGCTACCTCCCGGCCATCCTTCATTTTTGCTAAATGGACTTGACCAATGGACGCGGCTGCGAATGGCCTCTCCTCGAAGTATTCCAGTTTGTCCCTCCAGTTTGGGCCGAGATCATTGTAAATGACTTTCTGTAGAGAGAAAAAGGAAAAAAATTAACTGGAGAAATGTAACTTTATTTGTATAGTTTGCCAGCGTTCTCCATACTGTACCATCATCTGCTTAGTAGGCATGAAGTCTGCACTCTGTCGAACACGCTCAAAGATTTTAGCCAGCTGAGGATTGATAAAGGCGTCATCTGACAAACAAAAACGAAAAGTACAGAGCGAATGAAACACATGATGATGCCTATAGGGTAAGAACCGTTTTTAAAAAAATAATAATCCAGGGGTTATTGAATAGACAGGAGGCAGAGCTGAAATTTAGGATTAAAAATGAATTGAAAATGCTCAGGGTGAGACTTGCAGATGTGCAGAGGATGTGGATATGCTGGATAAAGGATGGAGCTGCCAGGAGGGGGAAAAGAGGAAGATCACAGATGATTCATCGATGTTGTGAAGGGGGACATGCAGAGAGTTGGTGTCACAAAGGAGGATGACAGGGATAGAGTGAGGTGACCCCTAATGGGAGCAGGTAAATGATGAAGAAGTAGTAAAAACAATCTTCTGGTACTGTACGTTTTCAAGTGTGCAAAACCTATAGTCTTAATTAAATCCTTGCTTTTAAATGAAAAAATACCTCAAAGCTTAAATTTGGCTAGCTGGTATCATGAAGTAAGTTAGACTACAGCTTTAATGGTGCCTTAAAGGAGAGATGAGAATGAACCAAAACAGTGTGTCGAGCCTATCTGTGTTTTGTTTTTCACTCTATAGGTCCATCACTAAGATCAATCTCTTTCACATAAATTAAGCTGTAAAATACATACATTTAAAATATAAATATAACCATTTAATGCAGCTTTACTGTAGTAGAGACAAGTGTTTCCCTATAAATTATTTTATTATCTAATAATATATTCAAAATGTAAATAAGTTTACTGTCATATGGGAAGAAAAACAACAGATCCTCTTGCTGAAAAACTGGAAATAGTTGTTCTGTATTTTTAACGTGAAAACTAATAACACTAATAATCACAAACGGTTTCACTTCTACTCTCCTTGCAGATAAGGATCGTTTGAAAGCTGAAGAGATACTAAACGGACCTTGAAGTGACACCGTTTTGTCAACAGCTTCTTTTTCCCCTCAAGGTCAGTATTAAGATAAAGTTAACGAAGTTAGCCGATGATAACGCTGAAACTGTGTCATGGCTGGCTACCATGTCAGTTTGGATAAGGGAAAATAAAGCTTCTACAAACATCTTTAAAACAAGTGTTGTTGAACAATCTTGTGGTTTCTTTTAAAAGTTTGCCAAGGATTAATGTTTCAAAAAATGCTTGGCTGAAGGATTTTATCGCAGGGATCATACATGACTGCACAGGCCAGAGCTGAAAAACACGACTGCGCTGTAAACATGCTTTTTAAAGCCAACAGTCAGGCTAGACTCTGCCACCTACAATAACTCCACGGGAATTGCACGTATTGTGTACAGCTGGCCCGGTGTTTATTTTTGGGGATGACATTTTAAAGTTGGTGAAGTGATCTCAGCAGACAGTAGGCATGTTTAGTCTGTGATGGAAGTTGAACCTTTATTTGTACACAGACACATGTGGGTTTCCTGCTTATAATATGCCTCAGCAGTTTGTCCAGATCCTCATGTCCTTGTATCACGCGAGATCAGTTAATACTGTATCACTAAAGATTAACTTCTGCTTGTGTTTACAGTGATTAAAAACAGCTAAGATCCATTAAGGTGCATCACTCAGGTGTATGTGTATCTGTACCTCACCTTGAATACTGAGCATCTGTCCAATTTTTAGAGCAGCACCTCGAACTTTGCAAAGCGTCCGGACAATTCTTTGAGCGTTGGCTTCAGAGAGGAAAGCATTCGAATCCATTATGGCCTTTTTGTTACCTAGAAAACACAAAAACTGTTTATAACATGTGCCAAGACAACTCGCAACTGAACACGTGTCTTTGAAAAATGCATCAATCCACAACAAATCCCCACCATTTTTCTTATATTCCAAAATGTGCAAATCCTTTTTATCCCAGCACATTTTGCTTTCTCTGTCTTAAAGTGTACCCACTTCCTAGATGCTTAGTGGGGTTCAGGTCAGGTGAGTGGGGAGGAAAGACTAAAAGCTTTAGGATAATCTGCTTGATCGTGCTTTGTGTGTACAGCTCACTGACGCCCAGCTATATTTATAAGAGGTGAAAAATGTCTCCAAGATGATTTGCTTGAACAAGATTATGATGAGTGGATCGACTGAACACAAGCTTCAGTGGAAGGTTACATCCAGAGGAAATGTGACCTGCTGCTCAAAGCAAGCAACATAATCAATACCACTAATCTGCTTAAATTCGACTCCTGACCTAGAGCCAATGAAGCATCTACAATATCGCTTTCTAACTTTTAGTCACAACATTACACATTTTTTTAACATCAATTTAAATCCACAGACTTTCCATTTTTATTTCCATGTTTTTGTGAAATGCAGAAGTTTTTTTTGGTAGGATCAGGCTTTTTGATGCCAGCGTTTTTAGCGGGATGTTACATAGCTGATTGTTTCTTCTGTACAAAATCTCAGAGCCCCTTATTTACAAACAAAACATTACAATAGTGTCCTACATTTCCCCGAACATTAAACTAGTCACTGATATTCTGTGCTTGCGTAAGCTTTCTGCTTCTACATAAAAAATATTGAACTCCAATATCCAGAATTAGACTACCTGGACATTCTGACGATAAACCGGCAGGTATGTAGTTTACTCACGATTGCTTATCTTAACAGTCTCAGTTAAATGACAGGTCAGCTGTGCAGGTTTAGAGGAGCAGCTATAGCTTTCCTGGCATCATTAGCAAAGCCCAAACATGAGGATCAACCTCAGCAGACTCGTAAAGCAAAAGTCTCCTGCTGTCACCTCGTTCTTTGGGTTTTAAACTCTTCTTGACCACTTCTGCGATTGCTCCGATGCCAAGTCCAACTGCCAGACCTGCAAAAGGAAGTGATTTTTTTTTTTTTTAAAACCAAACAATTCACTGAATAAACTGCTGCAAAGATGAAGTTAACATTACCAGTGTTGGTAACTGCTTGCAAGAGCAGTGTTGCCCTTACAAACAACCTACCTGCATATGATAACTACTGCATAAAAAAAAGAAAAAAAAAAAAAGAACGTGATAACAACAATCAGCAACCAGACTTGGGTATAATTTCTTAAAGCAGCACCAAGGAAAGCTCAGGGGCAAATGGAGGCCAAGAATTAGTGAGAGAAACATTTGATACTTCCACGAGAAGGCAGCTGATGGTTGATTGCACGTTTTCCTATTAGCTGGATTCTCAGGCATGTTCCAGTAATGTTTTTTCTGCTACTGATACTCTGTAATTTAAGTCTTGTGAGGGAGCACGTCAGCACTTTCCACAATCTCACCCCACCTCTTGAAAACTGCTGACCAAGGTCATGAGGTCAGACTCTTTCCACTAAATCCAAAATTAAACTTTGATACCCAAACACTTTACAGTATGAGGAATACAAGCAACAGTGGCTATTCTACTTACAAAAAACAGATGTCTGTATAAATGGCATGTTCAGGCTTTGTGAGGGAGTTTTTACTCAAGTGCATTTTGACGTCTCGCTGAGTTAGACTTGGAGGAAGTGCCAGCACTGCCAAACACAAATTGCAGAACTAGTTTGCAGAACTTCTATCGCAAAAAGTCGTTAGTTACAGACTCCATCCAGGATCATGATTTTTAAAAAGGTCAGATTCTCATTTAATATATAAAAATTTAAGTGAGCTCAACATTAAATTGGTTAACGATTTTTACAGATGTTCTCTCAGTTTAAAGAGCTGCAACTGATTATTTTAAAACACATTTTTGGGGGGAGTGTGATAGGTTTTCAACACTGCTGCTGTTTCACATTCATGCAGATCACACTTTGACAGCACCTGGCAGCAGCCCAGTATTCCCACACAAGCTGGCGTTGTCCAGTTCTTGCCCAGTGGAGCAACTCAGGGTCAAATGCCTTACTGAGAGTCACACTTTGTTTTGAGATTTACAGACATTTTTTAATTCAGGTTTTAATGTGACAAATACCATGGTAAAGAAATCACCTACCTCCAAAGTTTACCAGCCTTCCTATCCGTGTGACGGGTACCTTCTTCTCTCGAGCTTTTTCACTAAGCTGAAATCAAAGGAAATAAAATGTAAACACTTCACTGCAGCTGTGAAATACACACTTGCATTTATCATTAAAACACTCATTTACAGAAAAAAGAGAGTAGATACCACTTGTGTATGCTGCTTAAAGTCCCTTTTCTTGTTACTCCTTGCTTTATCGATATCCTCCGATGTCAGCCGCCCCACTGTGGTGTTGTCCTGGTTAAAGAGCCTCGTATGTCCAGAGAACAGCCGACTTGACCAGTCTTTGTAGTACCTAAGACCTTTATCACATCTTCCACTGCAGGTCCTCTGATGCCCATTTGCACTTCCTGTTAAGCTTGTACTGAAGCAAGCAGCCATAGTGGAGTATCTGTGAAATGTTGTGCCTCTGTATACTCAGACATCTTTCTGGTTCTCCTAAAAGAACAAAACATGACATTCAGCAACATTTATTTATGCAGCTGTTAAGTAAGGATGGGACAAAATGTTTTTTCGCTTTCTCTTGTGATATGTTACCGAAACGCTGGCGCCAAATATCAATATTTTTATTAAAACAAAGATGATAACTAAACTTCAGGGAAGAAGAGAAGAATCTTGCAGCAGAAAAATGGCAAGAAAGCTAACAAATGTGAATTTAAATATTATAATATTCTTAAATAATAATGACAATACACACAGGCACAGCAATGCTGTTTATAAAAGCATAGTTCCTGTTTTTACCCTTTTAAGTGGTATTATACTATGGTGATATGATGTTGCAGTGATGTGTTGTAGGTGACCACCTTGCAATATACACATTTATCAGTTCAGCAGGATTGCTGTATCATGATATTGTTATTATCGAGGTAAAGGTATTGTGAGAGTACTGTATCATGAGTAGAGATGCTGGGACCAGCCGACAAACTGCAGTCGGGGCATCTCTAATCATGAATAGTGTTCAATGCAATGCAATGCAATATAAGTTGTTGATGATGTGTTTAATGGGCACATGCATGTGGAAAAAGCAATATAAAGAGTGGGATAACATGTTACTCATTACATCAAGTAAATAAGAAAAGAAACAATAACTCATAACGTGTAAAACATTACTTTTGGAGTAATGTGAGCTGTTCCCACCCGTGAGGTTTGCAGGTTTGTAGTATCTACAGCACATAAAACCCTTACAGGAAAACCTGCTAACAAATTAGTTCTGTTAAAGTAGAAAATAAACATTACAGCTGTATTCCTCCTGATGCACAGAGCTCTGTATGAAACTCCTATTAAAGTGGAACCGAAGATGGGCTGGCATTTACAGAAATTGGCCCATGCAGAGGCTTTACTAATGAAAGTGTATTATAATAAATACACTGTAAACTGCTATTAGATGCAACATCAGTGTTTGGTTTCAATTAACAGGTTACAAAAATACAGTACAAGTTCATGCTGTTGCCTTCAGATCCTTCAGCTTGGTGCAAAAGAGAACCCCTGGTGTAAGGCGTTATAAATACTAAAACCAAGTGTATACAAATCCAGCTTCTACCTGATTAGTTCAGAGGCTGTTATTTTAGTCCCAAGAGACTATTATTGATTAATTATTAAATATCCAAAGTACAAATCCTTTAATTTTAACTATGAACCTTTATTCCCAACAGCGAATAAATAACAGAAGCAGTGCAGTACACTTGGCAGGCTACTATTTTTTTTTTTTTAAATACCCCTATCAGGCTTTAGGAAATGTGTATCCTTCACAGCCTGCTTCACAAACCATCCCCTCTCACTTCTGCTTCTGTACTACCTGCCTCCAGAAGCCTCGATCTACTGCTGCTGATGAGGTCATCGTGACCAAAAAGCAAAAACAGAACATATCTGCGCTGCATGCAATGTGAAACTTGATCCTAGTCTGCAACTGCACAACACCCAAATCACAGCTGACTGCTCACCCTTGCCGTTCCAGTGGTGTGATGAAAGTTTACCAGCCTCTGGTTCCCGGTGACAGTTAGGCCGCCTGGTGGGGCTCTGTGGGCCGCCTGCTTTACCCACTTAAGACTCCTCCAGACCACGGTGTCGCCTGCCATGCTGCAACTGTTAGAAACCTGCAGGGGAGTAAGGTCTTTGAAACAGGTGCTGGGGTGTCATGCAGAGATGTGTGAAGTGGTGTAGCTCTTCTGGGTGAATATTCGTTTATGTTCTCACACTTGAAGAGTACAACAAGACCACGTATAGCACGCTTAAGCAAAACAAAATAAACAATGCAAAAGTGTGATATTGACGTTGCTAACAGCCTGGACAAGAAAGGAAAATAAAAAAAAACCCCAAAAACAACAACAACACCACAAAGAGAAGCTTTCAAAACAAACCCGAGACAAAAGGCATGGACAAAGAAACAACTTCCACTCACCACTAACAAAAACTTCGCAACACACGTCCTCCCCGCTCAGTGAGCGTGCACACCAGCAACTGTAGCATGAGCCACGTTCACCTTGATTTAACTCGACACAATTCCCTTAAAAACCTCCAGCGGGACGAAGGAAAAAGGCGGGCGACGCGCTGGAGTACGTGCCGATTCTGACCGAGGCTCCCTCGGAGGAAGTTTAACAAACACGGGCCAATGAGGCAACTTCAGCCGCGGGGTCCAGACATCAACATACACCCTTACTGGCTGGACAAACTGTCAGTCGCCCCTCACACGTCAGCACGCGACCGATTGACGTGTCCTCCAATGGGGCGGTGCGAGATGCGAACATGTGAGGCGTTCAAGAGCAACTAGCAAGAAAGAAAAAAAAGGACACATATGGAGGAAAAGGCTTTCTGCTAGACCATGTGCTGGACATGCGCTCTCTAACGTTCGATGTAAGGTTACTGTGGCCACGAGAAGTAGTACAACGCTCAAAGTAAATGGTTATTTATTTATTTATTTAGATAAGGTAGATCCGTATTTGCCCCAAAGGTGTACCAGAGGCTACTCAGAAATTTCCACAATTTACAACAACAACAACAACAACAACAATAGTAGTAGTAGTAGTAGTACAACAGAGAAAAATAATAGACAATGTACTACTGTAATACTAGATATATTTATAAATTTCTTTCTTTCTTTTTTAACCAAATTAATAAACACAATATTTAAAGTGTCTGTGAAGGTTCTCAGTCATCCAGGTCATCGTAGTCAAGCTGATTAGAGGATCATCAGGGGGTCCTTTTGTCCCTCTGTGGGGGGTTACTCCCACTAGGTTTATATCTGGGACTCTCCACCATTTGACCTTAGAACTGAAGAAGCTTCTCGGATGAGAGGTGAAACGTCTTCAAGCAACTTAAAGAAGTCCAGACGCTTTTCTTTGCAAGCTCCTTTGACTACGATATTTAAAGGTTATTTCTCGATATTTTTTTTAATTTTATTTTAGCTAGTTTTTAAAGTTCACAAAATTGTTTCAGTTAGTTTTCTTTTTTTTAAAGGTCAATTTTTTTTAATTAGCCAGCTGACACTTGTTTTCCAGGTCTAGGTTTATTTTTTTGTTTAGTTTTAGTTAACTCTGATAACCTTGCTTACAAGCAGGGGTGTGTCTAGTAGGTGGGGGGGGGGGGGAGTGTAGATCACTTAGCGGTTTACACTATCGTCTAACAACTGAAATACTTCCAGTTCAATAACAAGAATACACATAATTCACTTTGGAGTTGCTATAGGAAGAGGATGCAGCGGGAAATACAGCTAGATCAAACATGCAGAGCAATCCGTTGTGGCGCCACTTGGGAAAAAGGGAGTAGCTTAAAGCAGCTTTTATTATTAATCGAGCTACTGAGAATTAGATAAGCAATTAAAAGTAGTAGCATCCCTGACATTAAAGAGATATACATATAAACAAGTCAATAATTATGATACAATAACATCATGCTTGGTTATATGATTCTGAAAAGTTTCATCCCACATGATGTGTACATTTACTGTAGATGCTTTAAATATATTTTAAATATACAACCTGTCAGCAGTTAAGCTGCTTAAGTAGAAAAGGTATAAATGCCTTTTCTACTTTCCCAAAATAAGTGTCTCGAAATTCTTGTCCAACACCACTTTTTACCCAAAAAAAATCTGTGATAGGACACATGATATGCACATGAGCCTGAAATTGTATTTCAGAACACAGGGGAACACAATGCACATCTGCCTCTGCACTTCGTGGTCCCCCGTGACCCCCCCATTTTTTTTTTAAAAATCTGGAAATGCCTCTAATTTCAACATAGACAAAAGGGATGTTTTTTTTATATCATTTAATCATGATGCAATACAATGTTTTCTTAAAGTTTGATAGAAGGTAAAGAAACTTTACTTAAAAGGTATTCAGTTTCATTTTAGAGTAACTCAGAATCTGCCAGTCTGAGATCAGCATATCTACAATATACTGTGGGTAAAAGCATTTAAAAGTTTATGAATAAGCAATAATATTTTTAGAATGTATTCTCTGGCAGACAAAATGAACCTGTGCAGTAATCTGAGAACTGCTTGGCTGGATTACATTCAGCTCTTTTAGTCTTTAAGACTCTAGCAGCTGCGTTCTGGATAAGTTGAAGCTTTTTTTATCACTGTCTTAGAAAGACTGGACAAAAGTCCATTACAGAGGTCTAATCTGCTAGAGATGGCCCTGAACTAGTTTCTCCAGATGGCATGTCAGTACAACTCAGCTGAATCTTATCTATCTCACAACTCAAACAAATCAAATCAATTCACTGATTTTCTAAATCTAAGATGTGCAAACACAAAAGCAGCAGACATAATTCTATTATTTAGTCTGAAAGCAGAATTGATTACAGTCTTGTGGTATTAAACTAGCTTAGTGTACCACTAGTGTAAACTGACCACTGAGTTCAGTTTGTTCTTTTGTAAAAAAAAACAAAAAAAAACAAGAATGAAATTTAGTTTCATAATTGGTTTAAAAAAAAAGCAACTTCAGAGCTCAAAAGTGAAAATGCAGAAAATTATGAGGTGCACGTGAAGGCAACACTACCCCCATGCAGCTGTGAAGTTTGCCATCAGAGTGTGGTAGCATCAGCTGTCATGAAGTTACAATGAATTGCCTTTTAATTTGAAAAAGTGATCAAGGAAATAACTGCTACTGCTCTGCTTACGCTAGGATATAAAACTGGCATGCAGGATGTCAGTGGCAGGAATTTCAGATGTGTCAAATGCACAAAAAAAGCACAACTTGGATGCGAGTTTGTAAACTTGTCTTTATTTTCTCATGTTTTTGTTTTGCTTTTTACACCGTAGGGCATTTTGTTTCCATCATATATATAATTTTTCCTTGGCAAATCCTTCAAGGCATTTTTTGATAGATAAAATATTCTTTGTGCTCTCCGTCAAGGTCTGATGGCAGCCTTCAGCTTCGGAAAGAGTTGGAGAGCGTTTTGTGTCGTCACCTCCATCACCTTCTCCAGCGACACCCCTTTGATCTTACTGATGTACTCGGCAGACACACAAATGTTTTTTGGCTCATTTCTCACCTGCAGTCAGGACAAGGGACAATTGTTGTATCGATTCTTATAGTTATCATATTATCAACTATATTAATTACAACAAACTAGTTGTAATTAAGGGGAAATTTCATGAAATTTCCCCTTGTGGGACTAATAAAGGTATCGTATCTATCTTATCTAGAAACTAGAACATTTATTATACAATTTTCTTTGTAATACATAAAGAAAATATTAAATTACTCCTCCCAAACAAAGATAATATAAGACATTTTTAAATACTCAACCTGTTTTTCTGGGCCGAGAGCTGGAGAATCAGTTTCTAGACAGATGTTCTCTAACGGCAGCTGTTTCACAAGTTTCTGCTTCTTGGTGGAAAATACACACACAGATCACCATAAATCATTAATGCTCAATGTGATAAAGTCAACCAATGAAAACAAAGTCAACATGCCAGTGCTGTGTGGGGAGTGTAAATACTCACATACAACTGTTACCTGTGTCAATTAAATAAACTAGTTTGGTCTGTTTACACACGAATGACAGATAAGCTGACTGCATGCTCGGCTGTACCTGCTCACTCCTTATTATGGATGGAGGGATAGAAAAGAAATAGCCGGCCTTCACTCCCTCCATAGCAACAGACGGTTTCCCATCAAAAGCATGAAGAAGGACTTTTCTGACACCTAGTGGCAATACAGAGGAACTGCAGTTTATTTCTCATACACTCAAGAAAACTGTTCACTCACATGCAAACAGACAGAATAAACTTAGGTGTTCACCTTGGTCCTTCAGGAGCTGAATGGTGGGTCTTCCTGCAGACCTCGAATGAACATTTCTAAAGCCAAAAATAAAAGAAAACAAATGAACAAACACAATGTATTATAGAAGGATTCTGTAATATACTGTGTCGGTCATTGTCTCATAAACCTTAGATTTTGATCGCTTTAATTTCTGCAAATGTAAATGTTTGTTTCCTTATGGAGTTCTTCTCTGTCTTATTTAGATTTTTACACTTTAATTGTAGTTTACACATTTGCCGAATGTATGGATCGTCCCTGGTTTGATACCAGGAGGAGACACAGATCCCTTTAGGTTTGTGTTGCGAAGGGAATCTGGCATTAATATCTACCAAATCAAATATGCAAAGCTATCTACTGTGCAGACCCCTTCTGAATAAGGGAGTGGCTGAAAGACTCTTCTTCTATTAAAAACAAAACAAAAAAAAACCCCAACCCAAAAACAATACACATTAATATTTGTACTGTATATATTGCCACACCGCCCAGGAAAGCTCTTAATTAGTCTTTGCTTAAAAAAATGCTAATAAATGTACCACATGAATTTCAGAGAATAGCCTTAATAATAAATATCTCAAGACTCACAGCGGGAGGTCCAGCTCCTTGGCTATCTGTGCTTGACGAATCAGGACCAGCCTTTGATTCTCCTTATCGGTGTCGCTTCTGACATATCGGGGTGTAAAATCCAAACCAACCTACAACGGCAAACAAGCTGTAATATCATTGTAGTTAATAAAGAAAACCAACGAAGGTGAATCAAAGATGCTCAATCTTTACCTCCCCAATGGCAACAAGTTGGTCTTTGTATTTCTCTATGATAGGCAAAGCAGCATCCAGATCCTGCAAAACACACAGAACACATTCCTGAATCTAACTGCATAAACCAGAAATAACTCATCCAATTTTTTAAATTTACAAGCAGTCAAAATTACAATGTTTTTACTGTTTTCTGAGAAAACTACAGCTGTGGTGGAGGAAGAGAAACACAGGAAAATTAACTGTCAGAGGGCCCGGTGGTGCCAGTGTCTGGCAGCCTCGCCTCTGTCAGTGCGCCCCAGGGTGGCTGTGGCTACAATGTAGCTTGCCATCACCAGTGTGTGTGAATGGGTGGATTAGGGACTAGTAAAGCGCTATACAAATACAGGCCATTTACCATTTTACTGCAAAATTGCAGAAAGAATGAATCATCCACACTATTTCAGGAAAGAAGCGCTGCTGTTTTTTTCCACCACTGAGTACCACAATTGATCTTTTTAAGATCAGACTGAAACACTAATAATGAGACACACTGGTGACCTGTCAGAGTGTACCCCATCCACCCCTTTCACCCTAAAATAGCTGGAATACAGTCCAGCACATCGTGACCCTCAATTTGATAAGCAGATGAAGATGGGTGGCTAGATGGATGTTATATTTTCATAAAGCCACAATACAACAATACTTGTTTACGCTCTACATGGCTGTTCGGATCAGCTGGCTGTTGTGTTTGTGGCCTTCTGGTGAATAAAGAAATATGAGTCATCTTTCTCATCCCCCATTAGTACTCTTGCTGCAGTGTTTTGTATCAAATGAAGGCTTTTCAGGGAAGTTCAAGAACAGCCTGATAATAACTTCCAATAGTTCACCCTTGCAGTAATAAAGTTATGAACTATTTTTTCAGCATCACTCTGAGACAGGATGTTCCTACTTTTAGACACTACACAGATAAAAGGAAACAATCTTACATATTTGTAAGGCACTTCAAGATTCCTCGTAGTGCTACTGGAGGCCAAAGTAATTCTATCCATACTAGGAATTTGTTTAGACCCCATGTTTCTCTGATTTTTACAGCTGAATATAATAACGTCAGTTTTATCTGAATTTAGAAGCAGGATATTAGAGCTCATTCAGGCCTTTATGTCTTGAAATCATTCCTGTAGTTTAACTAATTAATTTTTGTCATCTGGCTTCATAGATAAATATAGCAGGGTATCAGCTACAAAATAATGAAAATGCATGCAGTGTTTTTTAATATAACTGCCTAAGCGAAGCATTTACAATGTAAAAAGTATTGGTCCCAGCACAGAACTCTGTGGAACTCCATGACTAACGTTTGCGTGTAAAGACTCCCTGTTTACATGAACAAACAGATACAATTCAAACTTGGGCAGTGTATTTCCTTTAATGGCCACAGCTGTATTCTTATCTCTGAAGTAAAATGTTTCGATCAGTGGTACTGAATGCTGCACTGAGTACCAGGACAAGCACAAGGACTGGGTCCACTCTCAGAGGCCATGAGAAGGTCATTCGTAACCTTCACTGGTGTCGTTTCTATGATATGATGCACTATAAATTCTCAAATCCAAGGAGATTTCTGTTTTCCGGAGGTAGTTGTGACACCACTAGCTTATGTTAACAGCATGGGTGGAAAAAGATTTTAAACTGCAGCAATCCTACCTGAAGGCAAGCACCCCTCTGCTGCTCGGGGGATACTTCTTGAACAGGATGAACTCCTAAGCAGGGGAAAATGAAACCTGGAAACCTGGAGAAAATTACAGCAGGAAATTACAAAACCGCGACCTACACAGTACAGATACATCATCATTTAAACAGTGCTGGGTACCTCTGTGACAACTCTATAATCTTCTCAAATTCCCTTGAATGCTCGGCCACAGCTAATAACGCCAACAAGCCAGCCTGGACAAGAGTAAAAACAACCAGAAATTATCTTTAAAACAACAAATATCTGACTAACTTACAGCTTTTACTCACGAGGATCTCACCTTTTTTGAATTTTCGATCACCTCTTCTACATCCTGGCCAAAAAAACGTGGAAAGGTTAAATTAAGGTTGCTAAAGATAAAAAATGAATTTTCAGTCCGTAAACAAGCGTTAATACCTTGTCAAAATCCCCCGCAGAGATGTGACAGTGGCAGTCAACGTAGCCGTGCATGTGGACGTTGTTTAGCCCTCAAAATCAAAACAAACCCGCTTCCTCCAATAAAATCCGACTGCGCATGTGCACGTGTGGGCTCGTCAGTGCGCGAGATCGATGACACTGCGCAGCTCGAGAGGGCGGTGCTCTCTTAGAAATTATTGGTTGAACTATGGCGGGAAGTAAACGGAAAGAAATCAAACGTACCTGGTTCTTCAAGTTAAACCAGCCGTTTTCACTTCCTTGTTTGTTTTTCTCCTGCCAGTGTCAGTTCCGCACCTTTACTCACAGTCAAATGACGTCTAAAGAGTGAAGTCGGATCTGTGTGCGACACTGAAATGGGAGCTTTAGCAGTCTTTCCTTTGCTTTTATTGATCCTGCAGATCGGGGCCAATAATGCCAAATACGAACCCAACTGGAAGTCCATCGACTCCAGACCGCTGCCAGAATGGTATGACCAGGCAAAGTTCGGCATCTTCATACACTGGGGTGTCTTTTCTGTCCCGAGCTTTGGCAGCGAATGGTTCTGGTGAGTTCTTCTTTTGACATTACCATATCATTTAAACTTTTGCAGACAATCAGTGAGGGCAAGAGGGTCTGTGAAATCTAGGGAACAACTCATTCATTGGAAATTCCGACTTCGGACTTATCCAGGAACCCACCATCTATCCTGTCGGAGATCCCATATGTTTTACATCATGGCAACAGTGGCAGTACAGATTAAAAGTTTTACAGTTTTACAAGTTTTTACAGTGATGGCACATTTTGCATTTTATTTGTTACACAGGTGGTACTGGCAAAACCAAACGCAAAAGCCATATGTGGACTTCATGCAGAGGAATTATCCTCCAGACTTCAAGTATCAGGACTTTGCACCGCTGTTCACTGCTGAGTTCTTTGATGCCAAAGAATGGACAGACATCTTCGCCTCATCGGGAGCAAAGTACATCGTTCTGACCACAAAACACCATGAAGGTACACCACATTTTTGTGCATCGCTGTGTTTATATATGCCAGCTACAGTGTTCTTTTTTTTTTCTGAAGAAGTAGTCTGATGTCAGTATTGGTGTCAGCGATGTATGACTGTCCTTCAACCACACAAGAGATGTTCTGTTTTGTTGGTGTATTTCTCAGGTTTCACACTCTGGGGCTCAAAGAACTCCTGGAACTGGAATGCGGTGGATATTGGACCAAAGAGAGACCTGGTGGATGAAGTGGTGACAGCTCTTCGCAATAACGGGGACATTCGTGTAGGGTTGTATCACTCCCTCTTCGAATGGTTTAACCCGCTCTTTGAGCTGGACGCTGCCAATGTCTTCACTACAAACTACTTTCCTACCAGTAAAACTCTGCCTGAGCTTTACGAGCTTGTTGTCAAGTACAAACCAGAGGTGCTGTGGTCTGATGGAGATGGAGACGCGCCTGACAAGTACTGGAACAGCACTGGTTTCTTAGCTTGGCTCTATAATGACAGGTAAACTTGCAAAATGTACATTATTTTTAGCTTTTTTCCCATCATGGATATAAAAACTGAGCTGACTGAAATCTTCTCAACAGTCCAGTACGTGACACGGTGGTGACGAATGATCGGTGGGGCTATGGCTCCATCTGCACACACGGTGGATATTACACCTGTTCTGATCGCTACCAGCCAGGACACCTGCTCAAGCACAAATGGGAAAACTGCATGACCATTGACAAAAAGTCCTGGGGTTACAGACGTAACGCTCCTCTCAGCGATTACCTCACCGTCGATCAGCTTGTGTCGGTGAGAGCTGAAAATCGTATTCGCCTCTAAACTAAAACAGATTCACTGTGATTAAATGAGTCATTGGGAAATTTACCTAATGCTTCTTTACTCTTTTCAACACATTTCCTACCACTCTGCAATTTTAAATTGTATCTTTAGGCATTTTGTTACTAGCAGCCATCACTTATAAAAAAACATACCATGACTACACTTAAAAATGTAAACCCACGAGAGTTAAATCAACAAGTTAAAAAGATGCAAAAATGCAAGACTTGTCTGTGTAATTTACAAAAAGATAAAATAATTAAAACAGTAAAATCAATAAAAAAAATCAACAAGAAGAATGACAAAATATCATCACATGAGTGAGTGTCATTAAAGAGGAAAGAAAATGGGATAGAGATAAATATATGGGAGTTCAACCTGAGTCAGCGGCACCAGAGAATTAAGTTAGAAACTATAGCCTGAGGGTCGCTCTGCAAGCCAAGGTGAGCCAGCTGAGCAGTGATGCCATTCTGTGGTTAAAATGTTAGGAGTCCCCCCTTGTTTTACTTTAAAACACGCCTCCAGACCCAGACAAGGGAGCAGTCACGTTAGATTGAAGTTCGTTTGGCTCGAGGGTCAAAGATGGAAACGCTGATCTGGAGCCCTTCTTGTGGCTTTGTTTGTTCATGTTTATGTGTCAAAAATCGCTTGTAATAATTTCCAGTCATGTCCACTTTAATGTGTGTCCATGTGTGTGTGTGTTTCAGACACTGGTGGAGACTGTGTCCTGTGGAGGAAACCTGCTGATGAATATCGGCCCCACACACGATGGAAGAATCGCTCCGATCTTTGAGGAGCGTCTGAGGCAGATTGGTCAGTGGCTGAAGGTCAATGGGGAGGCCATCTATAACACGACAGCATGGCGAGCTCAGAATGACAGCCTCACTCCAGATCTGTGGTGGGTCCACAACTTTTTTTTTTTATAAGGCTACATTGATATTTATCTATAGAAAGACATAGAAAGTTATAGAAAAAAATATATAGATTGATAAAATCAGAGGTAATTAATGGGTCTGATCTTCAACAGGTACACGTTCAGACCCCAGGAAAAAAACATATTTTCCATCTTACTCAAGTGGCCAAATAATGGATCAGTGATTCTGAATGAGCCAGTGGTTACTGGGCAAACTCAGGTAAGACTGACTCAATACCTAATAATGTTGCGATGCCAGCTTCTTATATTTAAACTGGTATTAGTGTACATGGCAATAAAATGCAGAACCTTGTGTGAGATCTGAACTTTATTCATAACTTCCTTTTGTTTAACAAAAAAGGTGGTGCTTCTTGGTTATGGCCCTCTGAAGTGGGAGCCTGTAAAGCCCAGTGGGCTGCAGGTTTACCTTCCCCAGCTCTCCTTTAGCCAGATGCCATGCCAGTGGGCCTGGACACTGAAGCTGACTGGTGCCACTTAAAGGAAAATCACATCACTTGAAGAGGAACTGATGGAGCAGAAAGGAAGGATTATACAGTGGCTTGCAAAAGTATTCCTTGCCCTTTTCCACATTTTGTCACATTACAGCCACAAACGTGAATCAATTTTATTGGAATTCCACATGAAAGACCAACACAAAGTGGTGCACACGTGAGAAGTGGAACGAAAATCATACATGATTCCAAACATTTTTTACAAATAAATAACTGCAAAGTGGGGTGTGCGTAATTATTCAGCCCCCTGAGTCAATACTTTGTAGAACCACTTTTTGCTGCAATTCCAGCTGCCAGTCTTTTAGGGTATGTCTCTACCAGCTTTGCACATCTAGAGACTGAAATTCTTGCCCATTCTTATTTGCAAACAGCTCCAGCTCGGTCAGATTAGATGGACAGCGTTTGTGAACAGCAGTTTTCAGAGCTTGCCACAGATTGTCTCGAAACACCCCTGGCTCTGAAATGTGCAATCATCTTTGTAATACTGGGGCTATTCCCTGCAGCTCTAGTGTAACATCCCTCTTCATGTAATTGCTGACCGACTGTTGCTGCGGGGTGAGACGATGCCCTGCACTGACATCCTCAGTAGCCCGAGGAAGAGTTCCTCCTCTGTTTATGCCGTACAAATCGCACTAATGCACAAGCATCAGAGTCAACAAATGTGCGGTGTTGACCACAGTTTCCAATTCCATTTAGTAAACTTTTCCCTATCTGTAAATGCCAATATTGCTTTACTCATTGTTCCTAATGAATCCCTTTTCACTTGTAACGCCTTTTTTTTCTTGCTATCTTGATAGAGTTTCAGCTGCTTGACATTTTTACACAGAACACCGTGGTTTTCCTTTAGTTTCTCACCCAGAAACCCAGGCCAGTTTCTGTAATTTTGGGAGCAGTGACATTAAACACTGTGAAATTGCTCCTTTTCTTTGAGATGTGCTTTGTGGGAAGTTTGATAAGCCTGTTGCACTGATCGGTTTGATTCATTTTTAATAAATGTTTCAATAAAATCAACCTTTATTACACTGACTTGTTCTCATTTGTTGCCTCCCTTTGGCGCCCCCTTGTGTCAACATGTGTAACGCCCTAGCCGCCTGGGACATTTTAAGCAGTCTGACGGTGCAAAACAGATCTATGCACCCCCGCTGTGCACAGATGAACCGGGAAAACAACACATCCTCTTCTGGCTCTGAAAAATGCAGCAGCAGTGAAGTTATTTTCATGTTGCACACTGACCGGTAAGCCTCTGCAGAATTTCTTTCAAAGCTGGTCTTTGCTCTTTTTCTGCACTGAAACCACAGCAGCTGCAGGAGTATTTGTCAACTGAGATAGAGAGTCCGGTGCAGGGCAGATCTCACTGTTGTGTCTGCTCTCTGTTGCACGCCTTTAAGGTGGGAGGTTCCTGTTCTGCAAATGTTCCATGACGTGCTGATGGGGGGTTTGCAAGGGGTTCTTCTCACGTCTGTTCAACCCCCCCACCCCACACACATACCCTAATTTCAGCAGGCTATCCCCAGCCTGGTACGCGCACATTGCAGCTGATCACCTAAACACAACAAACAGAGATGTAAGGATGCAAAACGCGTGCACAGATAGACGCGCAATAATAGTGAAATACACATATTCTGCATTCTGGGAGAACCCGGGCTTTAAACCTTTAAAGTTTGTAGCAAAAATGTTGAGATGTCAAAAAAATTAACTTAGACATTTAAAGGCAGGACTGCAGTGCGGATTATTTTCTCGGTTTGGTCAGTTGGAACAGAACTTACTTGTTTAAAATGATGTATTTGTTCTGTTTGACTGCATATTGTAGAGTTTATTTGCCTATACAGTAGTGTGACAAAGAAAGAGTCCACAGGCCTCAGTTAGCATGATAAAGGCCATCACAGTTAGAAAAAGCCTCTACTCTCTAAAAAGAACAAAGCAGCACACCTTAGGATTGCAACACTGGATACGAACAAACCACAAGACCTCCTGAACAGTTTTCTTTGGAAATACAAGACCAAAGTGGAGATGTTTGGCTGTAATGCATGCACATGGTGCCATGTTTGGAGAAAATCAAACACAATATATAAGCACAAATGGTGATGACAGGAGATGATTTGAGCTTGTTTTGCAGCCCAGGTTCTGAGACTGTGTGGTCATTTAGTGGATCTTGAATTCCTCCCAAAGGATTCTGGAGTCCAGTGTGAGGCCACATGTCCTAAAAACTCAACAATGATCCCAGGCAAAGCAGCAATAAAATGATGTAGAGCACTGACTTGAGCATAGTACATTAGGTTTATGTGACTTATTTGTTGTTAGTGGTGTCAGAGACATTAAAAGGACTTTTCTTGTAATACTGAATAATGACACTCAGTTAACTGAAAACAGACGTGTTACTGTACTTTGCCATCTTGACTTTCTCCCACTTGTTTTCCATTTCCGGCAGCAATGAATTTGCATATTACTTTGAAGTAAAGGCAAGACTTCAACAAAGCCAAATCTTTGCCGTTTCTCAAACTATTATTTTTCATGTTCACTGGGACTGCGTGTACATTTTATTATCAATCAGCACAGAAAACTGCGTGATTCACTGTGCGGTCGACACACTGCCGGCTCATTTCTGCAGTCTTGCTTCTGTAATCTGCAGGCAGTAATTATATATGTAGACAGGAACTGGGAAACTGTTACAGACGTTGGCATGGTTGCCATGGAAACACACAATCATGTTAGATTATTTTCAGGTACTGCTGTGATAATGGCATAAGCATGCCTGCTCGAGAGGCTGACTTGAAGAGACGGACAAAGGAGCGGTCGACGGCCGATGAAAAAAGTGAATCGGTTGAAGTTTTCTGAATGGCTTCTGTGAGAAGGTTTTTAGTTTAATGTTGTTGTGTTTGTTCAACCTGCTGGGTTCAGTCCCCCCCTTATCTTAGGCTGCCATATGACTGCCACTACAGTGAGCCAAGAGGAAAACCTCATTCCTTCCATTCATAAACCCCCCTCCCTGCCCTTCTAATTTAGGACTAATATAATTAAAGGCCCGCTAGTAGTCAGGTGCATGTGTGGCATTCAATCACATGCAGATTTGTGGCAGATTTGAGCTGGTCAGTAGAGCCACGGCGTAGCTTTAGATAGTGGAAATGCCAAGCAGTGTGTGGAACATCCTGAGGGACAGACCATTATATTTATAGAGGCTCACGACTTGACCTTCACTGCACATTGAGTATCAGCCATTTTAGTGCCGCTCCTGTAGATACTGAATACAGCATAATGGATCTCAGCTGCACTGCAGTTAGTTAGCTTCAACTTCATCTTTGGCTTGTTAGAGGCTATATCTAATAATAGCTCTCTGCAATTCCATACTGTGGAGGGACTCTGTCAATACACAGACTCTGCATTCACTGCTTTTCTAGCACACAGCGAGTTGCTGCTTTTCTGAAGGAAATGCTCTGTGACATTACAGTTTTGCAGAGAAATAAAATGCTTGCCATTTGGATAAGATTTTGAACTGTGAGGTGAAATTCAACAGCGAGTCATTGCATAAATTGCTCTGTTGTGTAAGCTTTGCATTAAGGGGAGGACCTCTGTGAAACATGTCTTAGCCACAGCAAGCACAGCTGGTGCAAGCCCAAAGCCAAGGACTCCTATTCATAGAAGCCTCCAGTTGTTCTCACCCAAGAGCAAAGAGTGAAACCGAGGAGGACGAGGAGGAGGAGGTGGGTCAAAGCGGGGTGTAGTATCTGAAGTTCTGTAAATTATATTGTGTCGAAAGGCCAAATTTTTCACACAAATGGCTGAGGCGGGGTGATCATAAATCAGTTCAAAAGCACGGAAAGACCTCGTTTGATGTGCTTGATGGCAAAACCTGCAGCTTCAAACGAATGTTATGACACATTTTATCAGATGGTTCGGCCTCTATGCAAAGGTAATTTCACAGTAAAATTCAAGTCGAATTCAAATGTTTGTCATGTGTTTTAAAGGACACTGTTTTAATCTATATTCATGTATGATTTTGATTGCAAAAGTCAATCCGACATGTTAAAAATAGACGAGAAAGTACAAAGTAACACAGCAGTAGTTATCTGGGTACAATGTGCCACATTTTGTTATCTAACAATAAGGCAAAAAAGGATGTAAAAGGTGACTAGTAACATTATATGCCAATACTGGAGTCATTTTCAAATCTTTAACCCTTTGTTTACAGGAATTTGTGGACTAACCTGATCAGGAAACATCACAGGCAATTATTTAATTATAATCAACAGGCTTATGTGTAACAGGGTTACATGCAAACAGTAAATACATTAAACTGTAGTTGTAACTGCTACGTTAATAGAATTAAGCAATTAGTCTTTCTTCTCTTGTTTTGCAAAATTAAAGCTCAGACTATAACAATGCAGCCCAAGAGACACTAATTCTTACTGAATCTTGCTCAGAGGAAGTCTTTAAGATTCACTGCAGAGTTGATGCATTAATGCAAAGGCTCCAAATGGCACCAACTAAACTCGCACATGTGATTCACAAGATGAGGTTCGCAGCTGCACATAATCTGCAGTATTGTCCTAGTTTTTTTTTTCCTTTTTTGCCGCGTTAATGACACCCCTCATCACGACTCTCTCCATTCACAAAGCAAATCCTGTCGTGACGGGAAGAACTGGCTCTGAACGGGGCTTGTGGGTGTCTCAGAATTCAGAGAACATGTCTAATTTTTGCAGCAGCCTCGCAGCCAGCCACATTCATTGAGTTCCTCTCCGTATGCACACGCTGAATAGGATCACGCTGTAGGAGATGTACATTCAGAGCTCGCTGCACCATATGATTAGAGTCTTTCAGCCGAGCGCTTTTGCATTTCTTCCTACCGACTGTCCGACGCATTTTACATAGATAATAATAGTTAATGAATATGTGTACCTGAATGAATTTGAGCTGTGAGGGATGGGTGATGCTTTAGCTCTTTGGATCATGACAGCCTCGCTCCCCACTTTGTGTGCGGAGTGTGCGAAGCGCACGGAGAGACGAGAGGGAGAGGGAGAGGAAAAGCGCCCTTAAACGTGGGCTGTTGTGTATCCCTCTCTGGGCCCCTTTGCTATTTTTGTGCCTGGGTCCGCACGTCACGCTTGGGTATTTTCTCTGGTGACTAGCTCGCATCAATAGATCTTCTAATGTACATCCAGTCGGCCAGCAGCTTCGCGACTGATGGGACTTTTACCTCGCTCGTTTCTTTCATATTTCGCCACCCGGACATGAGGAGAATGGAGAGACGGACTATGCAGTATGAGGAATGTCACATGTGACTGCCGATATGGGACAGGGGACTATTCAAATGTCAGGTTTGTATGAGGATTATATTTGATATGTGAATGCCAGCTGCTGTGTGTGTGCTGTGTGTCACTCCGATCACAGTGAGAGAGCTGCTGGTTCATTCTGCATGCTGTCGTAGAGGACTTTAAAGCCAACCGTCTCCTTATGATATTTATGGATTTGTTGTCAGCGTGAGACTTCAAGCCCCATTCCCTTTAATGGCCAACTTGGCCCCTAATGATGTAATGCAGCGGCATAACGATGCTCTCCCGTAGCTCACCGTGCTCCCTTGTGTGTGAAGGGATGTGCCCAGCGAATGTGCGGTTCAGATAAATGTCTCCACAGAGTCGTTTCTCCATCCATGCGGACATACTGTACCACAGTCAGCCCACAGTCATCCCGAAGCACACCTACTGCCACCCACCTGCCTCCTGTTGTTGCACGTCATTGCTGCTGTGTCACATATTTTCGTTTAGGTTAGCGCTTGTTGCCAGGAGTGAGAGGAATTTGGCTTTCAAAGGTGCGCTGGCCCACTCTTTTTTTGGAAAAGTCTGAATGCGTTCAGAGACTTGTCAATGAGACTCTGAATGTGATGGCTCTGTTTCCTCCCTGTCGTGCTCAGTTCAAAGGTATGCATTGTTTCTGAGGGTCTTATCTCATTGTCACTCTGCACCTATATTCCCCTCTTCCCTCCTCTGGTGGCTCACAGAGGATGGAAACTAAGCAATGAGGTCAGATCGACCTTGAAAGGGAGCTCCCTACCAGGCCTCTGAATTTTTGTTACCCCCAGGCACCCTCCAGCTTAGTTTACCTCTCTAAACCTCCCCGTTGAAACATGGATCATTCCAATCCAAAGCTGCCCCTCCACCTCCTCCCCTCCTCACCATCCTTCATATGCATTCATTATTTTTCCTGTATGTGGAGGAAGCGTTCAAATCTGTCTGACAGCAGAGACTCCAAAGATGAGCTCAAAGAGGGGAATGGGCATTTGGATAAGAACACAAAAGGTAGATTATCATCTTTACCGCTGCTTTCGAGCGTTTCTCGGCATCTCAAGAGTCACCTTGGATTCATATCCTCTGTTTTTTTATGCTTGAGCAGCGTGGTGGTGTGCTAACAAAGAAAGAAAGGGAGTGAGAGAAAGAGAGTGAGAGTCGAAGAATGTCCTAATTAAAGGGAACTCAGAGGGTTTGTACCAGATAAAATTACATAACGTCGTTAGGGAGGACACAGCATTTGATACTGAGAAGATGAAACTGACGTGCCCTCAGATGGCCATCCATCCCCACGGTATGAAGTGAAAGTGTAACCAGTTCACTTCAGCCACAGGCATCATGATGTTTCTCGCTTGAGTCCTGCATGTTTACCTACAGTGAAGAGTGTGGTCCTGTGCGGCTCACTGTGGAGACGGACACTAGTGACTCAGATAGGTTGGAAGCCTTGAATCCCACTGGAGGTGATATGAAATGATACTGGATTTAGATAAAAGGCTTTAAAGGTGCGGGCGGACTCATTACACTTCATTGCCATTGATTTAAGACTATCGACTGGCATGCTTCAGCACACATACCAGATTTCAAAAAATGCTTACTTCCAATAACAGTCTTGTCTTCTGTTCTTCGGTTCAGTCTAGTTTTTATTCCCATAATTGCCAATAATGTCGACCACGGCTGAACAAGTGAGTTTAAAACTGAATTTATTAATTCACTTTGACCTGTTGTAACACCCAGTGGCAACCTATACAATGTAGCTTTGTGTTATGAGCCATACAAATAGATTAATTTTTACAAACTACATCATGTTACCTTTCAGATTAATTTTAATACATTGCAGTTATTTTTAAAATTTTTCCAAAAAGATTAAAATTTGATCAAAAGCCGAACACTACCTCTAACTCGGGATGGGGTGATGGTGACCCGGTGCATAAATGTTTGAATAAAAGTGACATTCCACATTACGGTACTGGCTTGTTTCCCCATGAGGACATCATTTGACAACCTCACCTGTGCCCTTAATGATCAGTTTTGACACTTCAGTATATATCAGTAAATATGTGGTTTGGTAGATACATGGGCAGAGACCACCTTCACTCACCCAGTGATTTTGTTCCATAAGGAGGCCTGAAATATGACAGAAACCACTCAGGTCTGAAGGGACCTTCGAGGGTTACTCCTAGTAGGCTTTCAAGCGGCAAAGAGTTAAATACCTCTTCATATGCACATTCACAGAGCTTCAGAAAAGTAGGTGCCAGGGTTTACCTTGGTAAAGAGACCCAGCTTTTCCATTCCTGCTGTGATGGAGCTCATTATGAATTTTATACTCCAGTTTTATTAGGAGGACTTTTGGGAAACAGCCTTGAATAGCTCTCAATTTCAAGCGCAGACACACACACACACACACACACAGACTTTCCTGCCTCATTTATTTTGTCACGATAATCTTCGTGCATATTTATGTGGTCCTAGTTCATGTTATTGCATCCTAACGACTCTTTCTTATTTCTTTCAGATGACCCTTCCCTGCAATTCACATGTATGTTAATATTACTAAAGTTACATAACAGTTATTGTCCTTGAAAATCGATCGCAAAGGAAGTGACACTGGATTCATGGAGTCACTTGAAACTACTGCAGGGGTAAAAAGCTCCACTGAGGGTCAGGACAGAAATGCTGCACAGAAAAAATGCACATTGGAGGTTGCACAGAGTAGGCGGAGACCACCAGTCGAATTGGAAGCCAAAGGGTGGCACCAAAAACTAGAAGAAGCTCAAAGCAAAGATACATGTGGTTTCAAAGAAATGTCTGACTCAGGGAAATCACTGCAATTAGAAGATCAGCACCCTCAAGCTCAGTCCACAAGCCATCCAGACTATGAGGTATCTTCATACCCACTACAGTCCGCAAAGCAGTTTTCTAGTGGCAGACAGAAAGCTTCTACACAGTCCCCAGCACCCACATCTCACAGGAAGTCCCCCAGCTCACCTGAAGTCCAACAACAATGTTCAAATTCAGGGATGGATCCACTTACAGAAACGGTGTGCAAGGTGGAACAGAAACCACAAAAGCCTGGGAAGTATGTTTGCGATTACTGCGGAAGGGCATGTGCCAAACCCAGCGTGCTTAAGAAACATATTCGCTCGCACACAGGGGAACGACCCTACCCATGTGTTCCCTGTGGGTTCTCCTTCAAAACCAAGAGTAATTTGTACAAACACAGAAAGTCTCATGCTCACTCAGTCAAAGCTGGAACGGTGCCATTCTCAGAACTCGGTTCGTACAATGCCAATACAGACCAAGGGTCTTTTGAAGGGGAAGGAGAGCTATTCTCTGATGCTGAGCAAAGCACAGACACGGACGAGGACACTCTTAATGACCCGCTGCTGCTGCTGGACTCTCCAATGGAGGGATCAGATAACACTGCTGTAAAAGTACTAAATCTCATTGCTCAGAAAAAGGGAGCCACGTCAATGTCAGCTCAGGATGGTTCATCCCAACCCCAAGAAATCAATGCACCTTCTGCTGCTGCCGAGGCTAGTCGTGCAATTCAATCTTGCACAATCAAACAGAGGCTGGCACTCCGGCTGTCTGAAAAAAGAAGCAGTGACTCTGACCACAATCTGTCCCTCCCAAGTCAGTCTAGCAAGGGCAGCACGGACTCTGGGTACTTCTCTCGCTCTGAGAGTGCTGAGCACCAGACTGGCCCTCCGAACACTAACGCAAAGTCCTACCAAGAAATTATGTTTGGAAAGTGTTATCGGCCAAGCCCTAAGCAGGCTACAGCTTTTGCGGCTTGTAGCACAGACACGAGTGAATATACCGGCAAACGCTCAGAGAAAGGCGTCTCCCGTGTTTTCACGCAAGAAAAAGACACAGTTGAGTCAATCAAAATAAACACAAAATCGTTCACAAGGGAAGAGGTAAAAGAACCCCTATTAGATGCTGGCTCTGATGTGGGGCCTCTGATTAGAAGCAACTCAATGCCAACATCCTCGGCAGTCTGTCTGACTATGCCTCAAGCACTCAGAGGCAGTCACTCGTTTGATGAGAGAACAAGCACCGGCGGCATGAGGAGACTCAGGCGGCAAGCCGCTTTCGAACTATCCGCGCAAGATGGCCATACTGACACTGACAGTCACGGAAAGATTAGTGAGAGTGGCATTTCACCCTCAGGACTGGAAATGGAAAGCTACCCTTCTGTGGTGCCTAGTATGAGCCATCAGAGGCATGCGATGGAACTGGCAACGCGCAAGCGTCGGAAGGAAAAAAGGGAAGAGGAGGATTTGTCGGGTCAATATGAAGGCCATCATGAACCGTGTGAGGAGATGTTTGATTCAAGCAAGGACTATGATGTAAAACAAGGCGCACTGGGCATTATGGCTTTACGGAAAGGCCATTCACAGATGGACAGGTGTGACATGGACATATCGGTGTGCCCTGAAGTGTCTGCTCGAAAAAACTTAGGGAATGTAATTTCAGTTATCCAGCACACAAACTCAATAAACAGGCCTTACTCTGAACATTCAGAATCTTACAAATATCAAGCTATGGAGGCCTCTGAATCATATGAGATGGAGCGAAGTGACAGTAGATTAAGGGAGTCGGTTCAATTGGGGCCCAAGCTCGTGCGGCAGTCTAACATACAAGTCCCAGAAATTAGAGTCACAGTAGAGCCTGACAGTCCAGAAAAAGCTCCTGAGGTGCAGGTGAAGGAGCCAGAGAAGCACGTGGAGGAGTTTCAGTGGCCTCAAAGGAGTGAAACTTTAGCACAATTCCCTCCAGAAAAACTCCCTCCAAAGAAAAAAAGGCTACGCTTAGCTGATATTGAGCACTCCTCTGGTGAATCTAGCTTTGAGTCGGCCTGCACTAGCCTGTCCCGCAGCCCCAGTCAAGACAGCAACTTATCTTACAGCTCCACCTTATCGTTTGACAGGGAAGAGAGCTTGAAGTCAGTCTCTCCCGCCAGGCAGGATGAATTTGGCAAACCATTAGAGTTGTTAGCTGTGCCAGGGAGTGGGCACTCCCTCTCAGTGCTCAACCAGCGTCAACAACATGAAATGAGACGCTCCTCCTCAGAGCAGGCGCCGTGTAACTTGCGCAAGGAGTTCCCAGAGTTGCGCAGCATATCATTTGACTATGGCAGTCTTTCTCCAACATCCAAAGTTAGACACGTGGACATAAACTCTGTGAAGGAGAGAAGGAGGGGAAACTTAGTGCGACAGGAGTCACTGAATATGGATAGTGAAGTAACATCACAAGTGTTTCCACAGTATCTCAGCAGCATCTCCCCTTCATTCACTGCCGCCACTATCCTGCCGCAGACTTTGCCAATATTCTCAGCTGGGAGTACATTTCCTCAGCTTGCACATCCGAGCCTGATGGTTCCCGTAAGAATTCAGACTCATGTTCCATCCTACGGTAGTATCACATACACTTCAGTGTCGCAGATTTTTGACAATCACTATGACAGTGTTAGCTCCACTACGTCCACCCTTCAGAGTCAGAGTTCAAGAATTTCTGTGAATCTCGATTCTCATAACATATCGGCTCATACAAAACCACCTACAACACACACCCTCAATGTTGAGGCCCTTGATTTGTCCTCAGCCAAGCTCAAGACAGGCATCCCTCTCTCTCTGACCTCCAGAACCATCTCAACCACTAATGCCTCCAGTGGTGGCGCAAACAAACGGATGCTATCCCCTGCCAGCAGCCTGGACCTATTCATGGAGGTCAAGCAGCAAAAGCGTGTGAAAGAGGAGAGAATGTTTGGGCAGATTGTAGAGGAACTGAGTGCGGTGGAGTTGGGAAAATGTAATTTGAGTGAAGAGAAGGGGCACAGGTCAGTGATGCAGGGTGCACCAACACTTCATGCTCAGAATGACTCACGCAGGAGTAAATTTATCACACTTCAGCAAAAAGAGGCCGAGGCCACGGACCACGGCGCGGAGTCAGTTATGGAAAGCAGCTCCCTGGATGCAAGCTCGCCTCCTTACGCCATGATATCAGTCAGTGAAGTGAAAGAAGCTGGCACGGAGAAACGAGTGCAGATGGATATAGTGGCACAGCTGGTAACCAGTCAAGACATCCTGATGTCAGACTCCGAGCATTCAGGACTGTTATCTCAGTTTCCAAGTCTTCGCACGACGACAGGTGTGAGCTGGTGTTATCTCAATTACACCACGCCGAGCTGCTCTCACAGCACCGCCCCTTTCTCATCTGTGTACGCCACCTGGCGTGTGAGTTCCCATAACCCGAACCCTCTTGAAGTGAGCACCAACTCTGCTCTGGCTTTGCTGCAGTCCAGACAGAGGGGAGACAAGGTTATATACACCATGGCTGCCATGTGCCAGCCTGGTACTGGGAAACTGGTCTCATCACTCATCCTGTGGAGGCAGACCATGGAACAGGTAAGAAAATAATCCTGTCTTTTCTATGAAAGGCGTACTGGTGTTTTAAACACCTGTTGAGATACTGAATTAAAGCCTTATTTATTGTACCTCTTATATCAGTAATCACTGATATAATCAGAAATAATTATGAGAAGATAACTGTTTAAAATGCAGAAAGTTTTAAGGACCTTAATACCCAGAATTTGGCAAACTGCACACTTTAATCAACCGACAGAAGGTTTCCTTGGAAAGATCCTGGAACGAGCATTTGCTTGGTGCTGATAATGATATTTAACTATGAATCGCCAAATGGTCTTGATTTTAAAAAATACGTCTTGAAGATGAAAATACCAGACATTATAATTATATTAAGGTCATTATTAAGTCCAAATCTTGGTACTTTTCTCCACTGTGCTCAGTGGATAAAAAGCATCAATTTAACGTTAAGATCAGAGTTACCTGTGCTGGGTTTTTCCCCAGCAGTGGCATAGTTCATGTTTGCAAAACATGCTGTGTAATGCCATGTGTGACATACAATATTGGTGGGATCGCGTTGCACTGTCGATATGGTGTCCACTTAAAAAGGATGTTAACACAATGTTTGTTCATCTGATTCAGCTGCAGAGGAAACCGGAGCCCAAAGAGGTGGACGTCACCTACGGGAAGAAGGTGAAAGACATCAGCTGCAGAGTGAAAACTGCCAAGGAAGAGTGGAAAGAGAGGGAGGCTGCCACAACCCAGACTGTGCCAACACGAATTAAGATCTTTGAAGGAGGGTCAGTCGAGATATTATTTACCATTACACTCGTCACTTCTGCTGACTGCATATGCAGCGTATATATTAGAGTGCTAGTATGTGAAGTATCTGTTGGCCCACGCTCTTTTTGCAGTTTACGACTGTGCTTTTTTTGCATTTCTTTATTAGAAATGAATCTCTCTCTTTCAGGTACAAATCCAATGAAGACTATGTATATGTTAGAGGTCGAGGCCGGGGTAAATACATATGTGAGGAGTGTGGTATTCGCTGTAAGAAGCCAAGCATGCTGAAAAAACATATCAGGACCCATACGGATGTGCGGCCGTATATCTGCAGGGTTTGCAACTTTGCTTTTAAAACTAAAGGTAAGCATTTTTTTCCCTTACAGAGTAGTGAGTTATCGTAGCTGTAGCAGTGATAAAAAAAAGCTGTTAGATTAACTTTTTTTTAAGCATCTGAAATGTACGAAAGTTCAGTTTCTGTTGTGTTTAATTTCAACAAATTTGCCTTATTTCTGCAGGAAACCTAACTAAACACATGAAGTCAAAAGCGCACATGAAGAAGTGTCTTGAACTGGGAGTGTCAGTGACGATGGATGAGACAGAGATACAGGAACATGGTAAGACTGGGATGTATGTAAGTGTTGTAGATATGCCCAGCTGTCACTGCAACAAATCCAGATAAACTAATGTGTTTCTCATTTCAAGTGGACGACATGCAACAAAAGTCCAAGACAGAGGTGGCTGCGACGACCAAACATCAGTTCTCAGACGCCGAGGACTCCGACGGCATGGATGAAGAAGCTGATGAAATCGATGAAGATGACGATGAGGACGATGAATACGAGGGTGATTCCACTCCGAAGTTACATTCAAGAAGCACGAGTCCTCAGCCGTGTGGAGTTACCTCTCTGTCAGTTACAGCCACTGCTGCCATCCACGGCTGCTCCCTCACATCTCTGCCCGGAGTCGATGTCAGTCAGCAACCCTCCGGCAGACGTACGAGCTTGGATCATCGTCCTGTTCTTGCAAACGACCAGAGAGAGAAATCCGTGGATGAAGACTCTCTGACCATGCTGTCTCCAGATCACAGCAGCTTCCTTTTTGACCCTTATTCATCTTGTCTACTCTCTCCTGGCTGGGAGTCTCCCATCAGGGAGCCCTCCCCTTCACGTTTACGTTACCCGTCCCCAAGGAGGGAGCTTTCGCCACGTGGTCGCTCCTCTCCCAGATGGGATACCTCTCCATTGAGGCCCAGTTCACCTAGCTTCACACCCATCCAGCATCCCTCCCCGGTCTCAATTGAACGGCCCATGTCTCCCGGCATAGAGCTGGCTGGAAAGCGGGAATCCTCAGTCAGAGGCAGGCAGAGGGTTGTGTTAAGAGCCGTTTCACCACGCAGAGGTTCACACCAACATAAAGGCAGCGGTGACAAAACCAGACACCAAGCAAAGATGGAGATGGCTCAGTACCAAGGAGCCTTTGAAATGGAGATGGTAAGTAGCACAGTGTATTCTGCAGCCAGTTCAAGTGTAACACAAACAAAGAGCTTTTAAGGACTTATTGTTAATCTGTTCAAGTGTATAGAACAGCATCTAAAAATTATTTTGTTAAATTTTGATGAATCTGGGTACATGTAGATGGACCGTGTGTGGTGTAAAAACAAAAATATTTTCATACACTGTATTTAAGAATTTTTTCAGAAATGTTATATTCTTGTCTACTAGTGTATCTAACTCAAACAACATAAGATATTAATCTAGGCACAGTTAAAATGGTAACTATGTTTAAAATTATAGCTTAGCAAACAAGCATGCTAACTCTTGCTAGCAGGTGGCGTGTCGAGTCCATCGCCATTTTTTCTTTTGGGACAGTTTTTTTTTTTTTGCCTTAATTTAGTCATTTTCAAGTCAGTAAATACTTAGCTTGTAAAGCACAACTGTTGTCTAGCTAATGTTGTGCTATCATGACCTGGCATTGTATGGTCGATACTAGTGTTTCAGCAGATTAGACACTTGCTACAGTTAGCGCACCCTGATCTTTAGCATTTGTTACCAATAGTGAAGACTATTCTCCCCTAATGCCCTAGTCACACAGGCTATCCCCCAACTGTTGCTGAACGTTGCTGGCAGTTGCTTTTAAGTTGATTACAAAAGTCTGATTCAACCAGGCCAAGAGGGTAGTCAATTACCCAATGGTAATGACCAGTTGCCTCAGAAAACTGTGTACCCCACAAATGGTTGGCGACTGGTTGCTGGCAGTTGCTAGTGTGAAACTTATGATGCTATGCCACAAACTTTCTTGTGATTGCTTTTAGCGTTAGCAGGTTGTGCATAATTAGCATGGAAGATGACAACTTAGGTGCAAAACTCTCAAAAAACTTGTCAAGAAGCAGTGAAGCGGTGAAGAATGTGACTCAAACTGTAAATACAAACAGGGAGGTTTTTGGTGCATCACCTTTTTTGCGACTGTTTTCATCTAGCGACAGCCAGCAACCACTCACCAAGACTCAAAATGATTACACATTTTCCCCTAGCAACCAGTGTATATTTCAGCATGGAATTAGCTATTTGTGTTTCACTAGTTAAAAGAAAAGCACACATACATTTTCTTTTTCTTGCACTGAAAGAACAAGTAGTAGAATATTCTGTTGGCAGAGAAGTTTTTTCTTCTCTGAGTGCTTTCATTTTTCAACATTCACATTACTTCATGATTTCTAACTAAGATATTTTCACATGAGAAATTATCTTGGCGATGCTGAAATTGCCGCTAATTCTGCCAATGTGTCGTTCCAGGATCAAAGGAGCAGCTTGGCTTCCAGTCTGCCTGGTGCTGCCAGTTCTCATCATCAGAACATCCTCAGCCACCTCCCTCTTCACTCCCAGCAGCAGGCCCACAGTTTGCTCCCCGTTGTTCCTGTTGGCGGGCTCCAGATATTACACTCCCCGCCTTCCTCCAGCACTGATGTCAGCCCCTCTGTGGCGCCAAGCCCCCAAAGCAGCGAAGGCCAATGTTGCAGCAGCAGGGAGGGATCTGTCCTCAGTCCTGAGACAGAAGGAGAGGACATCAGAGGCCACGGCCAGCTGTCCTGCCATGAGGCCGCTCAGGAGAAAAGCCTCGACCCCGAAGTCGGAGACAGCGGACAAGAGGAGAATGTACAGACCTGCTTGAAAGCCATCGCCTCGCTGAAGATTACCACAGAAGACCCTCATTAGAACCGTCATTGTCTGTTTTCTCGGGTTGATCAAGGAAAAGACACCTCCCTGCTACACCTGCGACCTTGTCACCTTCTGCCCTTTAGGCACATGACCTCATCTTTATCCCATTAGAGGCAATATAATAACACTTCCTCTGGTCTTGCACATACCCGAGACATCTTCTTAAGTGGATAATATGAGTGGAGGTCATATCTTTTCAGTGAAGAAGAAGGCCACCGCATCTGATGAGCTCTTCTCTTCAAAGGCTTTTTGGAAAACTTGGACGAGCAGCAGGGTGTTTTTTGCGTTAATGGGTTCAGGTGCAATACGGAAAGATATTCTGCTAATATGCCTTTGTCTGACATAGTAGTTTGCGTACAATTGCACATAAATTATATTTATGAATTCTGTACAAATGTCCTTAACATATACTCCTTCTTAGATACATACAAACAGTGTATTTTACTGTGTGTACTTTGAAAATAGACTGTTGTTTATGTAATCATATCAAGGTGTGATGCAGTAGTGCAGTAAATAAAGACTATTTATAAGGGGAAAAGTATGTGTATTATGAAACAGTCTGACCAAATTTTAAGTAGACGCTTCTTGTGCAGTTTGGTGCTTCTGATCAAGCAGCGAGGGTCTGTGCCTTTATTTTGCGTTTCTTCATTTCTTTATCAGAGCGAGAACTACGGAAAGCAGTCGAGGTACTCTTTATTTTGTTCAGAGGACAGCTTTTTCTTTCTCGCCCCGTCGGCTTTATTTATGTGAAACAAGCTTTAAAGAAACAAAAAAAAGTTTCCTATGTTGCAAATTTTCTTAATGTTGTGGTTTTTATCTTGGTAAAAATGCATGGGATTTGCTATTGCACAACAATAGAGGAGGTAATTATGTAATTATGAATACTGTAAGATGTATTTATATATTAGAACGTAAGCACTTATTGATACTGGTAAATATTTGACTACTATTTATATGGTATATCTGTACTTATGCAGCAGTGATGCAGTTATGCAGTGAGCTACGCTGGCATTGCTTTTGATCTCATGTCGTCTCTACAGTTTTTTTTCTTGCTTATACAGATGACCATGAGCATTTTATGAGTTTTAAAGATGCACTTTCATCCTTTTACCTTTGATGTTTTAACTGACTCGGTCAGTGGAGGAAATGGGGGAGTAAAACACAGTTTGTTCTCTTGTGATTTTTGACACATTCCAGTTGTTTTTTTTCTTTTCTCATTGTGTAAAACACGTTGCACACAAATCCAAGGGGCTACAATGATCAGTCAATAGTACATTTTCTTGCATTTCAAGTGTAACTGGATGAATCAATATAAGTAATGACGTTATAAGCATGACTATTACTGTGCTTCAGCTCACAATGTAAGTAATCATTCACCAAATGCATTACTTCTTCTCTGTATATATATATATGTGTATTTTTATGATTTAAACTATTTTTGCAGTGTTGAATTCTGAAAACTTTTTATGTGGATTGTTTATATCTCTTTAAGAGGTAAAATGTCTGCAGCTGATGTAATGGCAGAGGTTTAATGAGGCTGATTGCTAACACAGCGTGTCTCATCTTTTTAAAAAAAAATGTACTCACATCTTTAAGTGATTATCCGTTTTTGAGACTTCGAAATTTAAAAACACAACAACACTTTGTTCACTCATGTTTACATAAAAGATTTATAGGTGCACTGCTTTAATTTTGTGTTTTCCTTTCTGAAGGTGTATGTAGCTTTGATTTCACGGTTGTGTATTTTCATTTGTTGTGCACATAGCTCATAAAATGTGAAGGGAAAGTGAAGCCTTTTATTTGCTTTAGCATACATTATGTATTCAGATTGTGTTTTGTGTTTTTTTTTAATTGTGTATTCATATATACTGAACTGCATTGTGCCTCTCATGTCTATGGAAATCCTGTAAAACACACAGAGGACAAATCATTTTACCTCTAAGCTAAGATTTTTTCGAGGAGGGAAAAAACAACCTCAGTAGCCAATCTGTTGTTTAGCTATTTGCATCAAATCTGGCTAGTCAGGACGGAGTGCCTCTTTTATGCTATGAGGAATTTATTGTTTGGTGCTCTACTTTTTCAGATTAAATTCAAAATTGTTTTAAAAGAATATAATTCTAACCCAAAAATGTGTGTCGCAGCTTATTTCACGGCTTCCGTACCTTTCCTCCTGCATTATTCACCGCTGTTTAAATTAGAGCTCGCACGAGAAGGTTTTCAGATGAAATCGCTCACATTTTATCTTCAGGGTACAGTGAAAAATTGGAGAATCTCCAACCAGTGACATCCTCTGGTGAAGAATTATTACTGCAGTCATAACACGGGAGAGGAAAAATAAATGAACGCTTCCAAAAATAGCTCTCACCTTGTGACTAATATTGAACCACATTCGCACACACTTTGTTGTGTATCAGCAGCATTTGCGGTGCACTTTACTGCATGTGTGAAGCATGTATAAGCAAGGAAATGAGAAAATCACATTTTTTCGGCCACTCTTCTCTGGGTCGGGGGAGGAGGTCTGTTCTAATTCTGGCCAATCACAGAGACACATAAGGTTTTTTCCCCCCTGTCTCCTGCTCAGTCACCAGGCTTGTCAGGCCCATTTGTTAGAATAATTATATGGCTGTTAACAGCAACCTTGCCTAAAATAAAACGAGTGCTGCATTGGTTCAAAGACACCACATAAAATGGCTGCTAAAGATTTTACCAGAAGATTTATTGTATTCATACATTGTTAGCGTGAACACAGGTGCTTCTTGGGGTAAATTCCCGTTAAGATTACAATCAGAGGAGGCCCGTGGGTTGTTTTTAATAGAGGTGTGCTGTGGAGTATCTCTGTACTCCCTCTCTCTGTTCAGAGTGAGCTGTGCTCCTCTGGTTTATTTTGAGGTGGTCTTATCACAGCTGTTGTAGCTGGTGGCAGCCTGTCCAAGCCCCTCGACACTCTTCCTTTTCTCCCTCTGGCCCTTGGTCCTGGTAAGACCCTGTTTGCTCCTTGCCCTGCTTCTTCAGGGATATTTAGGCTTTAATAGTTTAAAAGGTTAACTCTTGTGCTTGGGATGTGTTTCAAAACGTCTTCTTTAACGTACTAATGAGTGCCTCTCTGAATTTGATGGATGCAATCTTCGCCAAGTTTGTTAGAGGCGAGAAGCTCTTGACGGCAGTGAGGCTAGTCTAGTCTGTGAATGCGTTTAGTAATATTTATGTTAAAGTAAAGTAATGGCTCACTAAAGCCACAGTGTTACATACACTGTGTTAAAGGTAACTTTAACCTCCTAGAAATATACTGCGTGCCGACGGGGGTTGCTTATGTAACATTTGTGTTTTTATTGAATATTAATAGTTGAAAAACAAGACTTTACTGCGCACAACCACTGACATCAATAAGAGTGGATAATAAATAAATAAATAACGTGCCCATATTAAGAAGTTCTTAAAATAGCCTGTGGATCTGGAACAGGTGCCATGTGCTCAGCTTGTGAAAGCACAGGCAGCGTGAAGGCTGCACTAATTTTTATGCACATAAACAGGCTCTGGCTGCAAGCCCGTACAACGCAAGATAAACGCAAGGACTCGATAGGGGATTATATTTATTATTCACTAATGAGCTTTAGTATTACTTTAAGTGATTATTGTTTTTGTCGTAAAAATGGCAGATTTTCCAATGTCTGCCTGTCTTAACAGTAAATATAAGATGGTCTCAAAACCAAGAAAAACTCGGGCCACCATTCATTTTTCAATTTTGCAAAAAATTGAAAAAATGAGTGCGTTGATTTACTGAAACGTGTCAAGATACACGGAAACAAAGAATTAAAAACAACGTTTGTACCATTATTCTTCAGCAGGAGTCTGAACTCTTAGTTTCTTTAACTACTCCTCTGGAATTTTTCTCCATCCTCATTGAAGGATGCAAATGCATCAAATGAAGGTCTACATACATCTCTCAGGTCCTGTGTCAGGTCTTTGCCGGACGTTTTCCTATTTCTAAGAAAATGACTCTCCTGGAGATATTTTTGTAGGCCTAGCACTTCTTTTGCCCTCCACCTGTCCAGTTTACTCAGAATTTTAAGTAAAAACTACTCGGCATGCTGAGATATGTTTTCAGCTAACAGCTCTTTGTCAATCACCTTATTGGTGTAAAGCTTATTGTCAAATTATTGTGTTATCTTTGGCTTTTTTTAAAAATAGATTCGACGTAAGAAATGAGAACAAATTATGTGTTTTTGTGACAGGGTGCTAGTAACAAAGGGCCTAAAGATACAAATTAAAATCGATCTGTTCAAAGTTGTTTATTACAGTATATGTAAACACATTTGTTCACCCCTTGAGTCTTTCTTATACTTAAATGATTCTTGGGTCAGTTTTAAGTTGCTTAACAAACAACCCAATGAACGAAAAAGCAGCCAATGTCCAAAGAACTTGATGGTAGTGTTGAAGTTTGAGTCCATTTTTCTGCCGAGCCTTTACAGCAGGGTTACAGAGTTTTTACAGTCTTTTACCAAAGAATTATGTGTGTCTATTTACAAAAAATAATAATATCTGTTGATGTGTTGGGTCAGCCAATTCACTGAAAGACATTTACTTACTGTCTCTGTATGAAAATCAGGTGTGATTATTTATCTTGCTTCTCCTTTTCTTAATGGTTAACCATAACGCTGTGTTGCTGTACTGGAGAACATGAATGAAAAAGTCAATTGTGACATCATTGTAAAGACCTGTGCTTTTTCTACTATGACAAAAAGTTCTGCAGAGATGAAGGTCTGTGCTGGAAATTCTCAAATCTGATTTGAGTTCATCAGATTTCTGATTGATTAATCAGTAAAATTAAGCTTCAAATAGCAAAGCTGGAATAACTAGGACCAAAATGGACACTCAGCGTGACTTTGGTTTTCTCCATGTTTACTACTTCACTAAACAGGAAAACATGAGTCTATCCTAAGCCTAATCCTTAGCCTCTTACACATGTACGGATTCCATTACAGAACCAACCATCTCCCTTTTGGAACTACCTCAGAAAAATGGAGGCTTGTCAGGAGAGTAAACGCTCACCCACGAGTCCTGAAGCATCGCCAGCCGAGGATCACCACATTGACCTGACAGAGGACCTGGGCCAACAGCTGGAGGACATCATTAGCACCTACCAGGCTGCCGAGATTCCAGCTGAGCCAGAGGACATGGAGGAGGTCACAGCCGTCAAAGAGGCAGAGACCCGCAAGGACCAGAAAATGGAGAAGAAGATGCTGAAAAATCTAGGTGTTGTGTGTGGTTTTGAAAAAACAAACAAAAAAACAGTTTTAGTGATTTTATCTGAGGTGGGTTTGATTCAGTGAAGTCAGCAAAAGTCCAGGTTGTACTGAAAGTGATTGGTGTGTGATAGCAGAGCCGTAACGTGTGTAAATGCATCCATCTGCAACAGAGAGGGAGGTAAAATAGTATTTCCAAATGCCGTTTATAGTTTGTGTCATTCAGCTGCCAAGATGATTTTTCACAAGATGGACCAGCAGAGTTCTTGAAGTCCCAGAAAATCATCCAACAATAATTTCTGTATCAGTCTGTTTAAAACTGGCTTTATGGCAATGATTGATTTTTAAGGTTAAATTCTGTATGGCTGCTCAGGGAAGGAAGCTATGCTGTTGATGCAAAGTCTGAACAAACTCGATTCTCCGGAAGAGAAACTGCAGGCCATCATCAAGAAGCATGCCGAGCTGGTGAGTGGATAAAACAAAGGTGAAGAGAGCAAAAAAATAAAATATATAGTAGCTCTCATCAAAGCTATGGTTTGTTTCTAGAGAAAAGATATAATCACTATTATGGGGCACTGTGTGTGTGCTTTTGCAGCTGGAGGAGCATCGCAGTGATCAGAAGCAGATGAAAGTTCTCCAGAAGAAGCTTCTCCAAGTGATGAAGGAGAAGGACCAGCTGCAGGGCGAGCACAGCCGTGCAGTGCTGGCTCGCAGCAAACTGGAGGGGCTCTGCAGAGAGCTGCAAAGACATAACAAGACTTTAAAGGTAGCTCAACTCCAGACATCACTGCTTGAACAGTGTCTAATCAGTGATGCCGAAATCGCCATTTGCTGTTGAGCTATGGTGCCAGGTGGTCCCAGCATATTTTGTGCTCTACAGGATATGACATCACTGGCACTGAAAATCTGCTGCCATGTCAAAGCTCAAAGTTTGACCTATTCCACTGCCACCCTCACAACTCCTGTTGTGAAGCCAAGTGTTGTTCAAAACAGCAGAACTTTAGCGATGATCCCTGATCAAATATGCATGTTTTTGCTTGCAGTGTAGCACGTTTTAGTCAAGATTGTTTTGGTGTGAGCTGCTCAGTTTTAGAGCTTTTTGATGCTTTAGCAACTATCACCTTTATAACAATCATAAGAACTGTGCAGACAACACTGCAGTTCAGTTTAAAGGGTTTGCATTCTCTCTTTTATAAGTTTAACATCATGGATGCTTCCTCTTGTACAGTGATACAGTTCCTTCATGAGCTTCCTGCATGGCTGCTGGCTGGAGCAATAGCAAATTATATAAGTCAGTGGTGGTGCACAAGACAAACAAAACGGTTGAGCATTCATATCCATCTTGCAGTGCAGGTTTTAAAGCTAACACCCATGCTTGAATCGCAGGAGGAGACCCTGCAGAGGTGCAGAGAGGATGACCTAAAGAGGAAAGAGATCACGACCCATTTCCAGGGCACGCTCAGTGAGATTCAGGCTCAAATTGAGGAACACAGCAGCCGCAACACCAAACTGTGTCAGGAGAACGGCGCTCTTGCAGAAAAACTGAAGGGACTCATTTCACAATACGACCAGCGAGAGGCGGTATGGATCCTGCTACACTGTGAACACACACGGACACTCGCATAACATAACAGCAAAGCCAATTTGTACTCCCAGTCTACATGCATTATTAAAACTGGATAAACTGCACTTGTGTAAACCTTCTCACATCTGTGCCCATGAATTATTTGCAGATTTCTCCCAGGTCTTACATTTATTAGTTACACTATTTCAGTTTTATGTAGCCAAAGGCTCCCAGAGCGAGAAATGAAACAGCTTTCTCTGTGAAAACGACTCATAAATCCACCTGAATGTCTTCCAGAACCTGGAAAAGGTTTTCAAGCACAGAGACCTGAAAGAAAAGCTGCTGGAAACCAAACTCGCGCAGGCAAACATGCTGCTGAAGGAAGCAGAGGAGAAGCATAAGCTGGAAAAAGACCATGTACGTTTTTTCGTTGTGCATTTTAATAAAAGATTTGTTGTAATAATCCCCTAATGCTCATTTTTCTTTACCATTTCAAAATCACACAGCTGCTGAAACAGGCAGCGGAATATAAACTGCAAGTGAAGGTCATGAAGGAGCAAGAGATCGATATGAAGGCCCAGGTATGGTATCAGGGCATCATGGGCAAAATTGGATCATTTTTCTACCTCCCTGGAGAAAAGTATAATGTTTTGTTACCATTCTTCCTCAGCTTGATATGTACTCCAAGAAGTTTGATGAATTCCAGGGCACGGTAACAAAGAGTACCAGTGTCTACAGCAGCTTCAAACAGGACATGGACAAAGTAAGTTTGGTTTTACAGAATATTTGAAGTCGGCTTCAGGAGATTAAATTATTGAGTTTTTCTGCAAAAAGATGATGACAAAGATGACAAAAATACAAATGAGAGGAAAGAATCCCATGAGCCTTTCAGTAACACTTCAAAAACTGACAAACCTTATAATCCTACACTTGCTCAGTTGCAGCTATTTTTAGAAGATACTTTGATTGTCTGCAGCATAACATGATTTTTTTTGTTGTTGTTGTGCAGATGGCCAAGAAAATGAAAAAGCTGGAGAAAGAGTGCCAGTCATGGAAGACTCGCTTTGATGGCTGCAATAAGAATCTTATTGACATGGTGGCAGATGTAAGAATTTTTTGTTGTTGTTTTAATTCATTAATACCCTCATACATAGATCGATTTTTAAAAA